ACAACAAGGTCCAAGTGGGCCAACTGGAGCTACAGGGCAATCTGGACCTACTGGTGCCACTGGACAACGTGGTCCTAGTGGTCCAACTGGTGCAACTGGTCAGTCTGGACCTACAGGAGCAACTGGACAACAAGGTCCAAGTGGGCCAACAGGAGCAACAGGACAATCTGGACCTACTGGTGCCACTGGACAACGTGGTCCAAGTGGACCAACTGGTGCAACTGGTCAGTCTGGACCTACAGGAGCAACTGGACAACAAGGTCCATCTGGACCAACTGGAGCCACTGGACAACTTGGTCCATCTGGACCAACTGGAGCTACTGGACAAACTGGCCAAACTGGCGCAACTGGTTCAACTGGTCCATCTGGTCCATCTGGACCAACTGGATCCACTGGACAAACTGGGCTCACTGGAGCCACTGGACAAAGAGGTCCAAGTGGACCAACAGGAGCTACTGGACAATCTGGGCCTTCTGGAGCAACTGGTGCAACTGGACCATCCGGTCCAACTGGAGCCACTGGTCAAAGAGGTCCATCAGGTCCGACTGGTGCTACTGGTACAAGTGGTCCTACTGGGTCTACTGGTTTGACAGGAGCAACTGGACAAGCTGGCCCTACTGGATCGACAGGTATTTAAAATTTCCACTCAGGGAAATGTAAAAATAGTGAGAAAAACTAAGAAACTTTTAAACCTTTTCAAATTAAACTATTTAGTTAAACATTAATATTTTAATGGATGATAAGTCCACAGTTTCAAAAGTGAGCAGAATAGGATATAGTTTTTAAAGTGTGCTGTGAACTATATTGGGCTTCTTGAAAGCCCTGGTGCTTAGATATTACATTATTTGTAATTATTTTATTTATTTTTGAATAGACATTCCTTAATAACCAGTTGCTGTCGTGATACGGTTGCTATAACAAAATATGAACTTAATTTTTACATGAAATTACAAAGGTTCTGATTAGGTCAAATTAAAAGGTTTAAATTAAAATGTATTTTATATTTCTGAGCTGCCATTTCAAAGAGTATCTAACAGGAAGTAACGTCATTGACTCTAAATTTGCATTTAGCAGTATGTAAAAATGTAACAAAACATGTCCAATTTTTTTTTATTGACTTGAATTTTAAGTCCATTCATTTATAATATCTTCATTTTGTATACCCTGACAAGCCTAAGTGTGCTAAGATTAAAACAGTCAGGAGAGAGTTTCTTTTACTGTTTTATCAAACTTAAAAAAGGAATGATATTGTTGTCATTTATGCTACTTGTTATGATCAAGTTGAAGAGTCAATTGCATAAGTGTCCGCAATCTGGAAAAATGGCAGTTAAGAGAAATTGATTGCTGTATATGTTAAATTGTCACTTTTGACCATACCATATTATTTATAAAGTGTGGATAATGGATAATTGGTTTAGCAACCATATCAAGAAAGCAAAGGGTTGCAAGGAATATAAATTTACAGTTAATCTGTATCATATTCTCATATCATTTTAGGTGCAACTGGTCCATCCGGACCTACTGGGGCTACTGGATCCACTGGACCTTCTGGACCCACTGGAGCTACTGGAAGCAGAGGTCCTTCTGGACCAACTGGAGCTACTGGAACCAGGGGTCCATCAGGGCCAACTGGGGCAACTGGGCAAACTGGACCTTCTGGTGCAACTGGAGCTACTGGTCCATCAGGACCAAGTGGACCAACAGGTGCAACTGGACAACAAGGACCATCTGGTCCAACAGGAGCTACTGGTCAAAGTGGTCCTACTGGAGCCACTGGAGTTCGGGGTCCTACAGGTCTAACAGGTGCAACTGGTCCTTCAGGGCCTCAAGGCTTGACTGGATCTACAGGTCCATCTGGTCCATCTGGGCCTACAGGAGCTACTGGTCAATCAGGTCCAACAGGAGCTACAGGAGTTAGGGGTCCATCTGGCCCAACAGGTGCTACAGGACAGTCTGGTCCTACAGGTCCAACAGGTGCTACTGGTCAAACTGGTCCATCAGGACCCACAGGATCAACTGGTCAAACAGGTCAAACTGGATTGACAGGTGCAACAGGACCGCTTGGACCTACTGGTTTAACAGGTGCAACAGGGCCTACAGGTCCATTGGGTCCCACGGGATCAACTGGTCCATCTGGTCCATCTGGACCTACAGGAGCTACTGGTCAGACTGGTCCATCAGGTCCAACAGGAGCTACTGGACCTCTTGGTCCATCTGGTCCAACAGGAGCTACTGGACAATCTGGACCTACAGGACCAACCGGTGCAACAGGACAAACTGGACCAACAGGACCAACAGGATCAACTGGTCAAACAGGTCAAACTGGGTTAACAGGTGCAACTGGACAAACTGGAACTCCTGGTTCAACAGGTGCTACAGGACCAACTGGTCCATTGGGTCCTACTGGATCCACTGGTCCATCTGGACCAACAGGACTTACAGGAGCTACTGGTCAAACTGGACCATCTGGGCCAACAGGAGCTACTGGTCAGACTGGGCCTTCTGGTCCAACTGGTGCAACTGGACAATCTGGACCCACTGGACCAACTGGTGCAACAGGACAAACTGGCCCATCAGGACCAACAGGATCAACTGGTCCTACTGGACCTACAGGTATAACAGGAGCTACAGGACCACGTGGACCAACTGGTTTAACAGGTGCAACAGGGCCTACAGGACCATTGGGTCCTACTGGATCTACTGGTCCATCTGGACCAACAGGACCAACAGGAGCTACTGGTCAAACTGGACCATCTGGGCCAACAGGAGCTACTGGTCAGACAGGACCTTCTGGTCCAACAGGTGCTACTGGACAGTCTGGACCTACAGGACCAACTGGTGCAACAGGACAAACTGGACCATCTGGCCCAACAGGATCAACTGGTCCAACAGGTCCAACAGGTTCAACTGGTGCAACTGGTCCATCAGGTCCTACTGGCCCTACCGGTTCAACTGGACCAACTGGTCCCCAAGGCCCCACTGGATCAACTGGTCCCTCTGGACCAACTGGTCCTACTGGATCAACTGGTCCCTCTGGACCAACTGGTCCTACTGGAGCAACTGGTCAAACTGGTCTAACAGGACAAACTGGTGCAACTGGACCATCTGGCCCAACTGGACAAACAGGTTTGTACATTTTATGTATTTTGCTTTACACCAAATTATAGCTTACTTTCAAACTATTTGAAGAAAATATGTGTTTTATTAACAGATTCCTTTTCGAGTTTATTTACTGAGAAAAGTAAAGACTATTTAACAAAAATTACTTCTCCATTGTTATTAATAGGCACTTTCATATTTGTTAATCACACAATATAATCTTGTGTCAAGTCTTTTGGAAAATAATCCAATAGTTATGCTTGGTTAATAAATTATCATGCTATCAAGGTCTCTACCCCCATCAATTTTCATCAGTCAATCAAATTTGTATTAATGAATTTCATTTTGCATCACAGTTGGGATCTGAATTCTCTCTTTATAGTAGGGTCTCAAGCTCCATCTTGAAGGTTTGCTATTTAGATTTCAAAATACATAGCGGAGCACTTTTGGTAGATATTGGATTACATCATTTTTCAACCCATTGATAATAATTTTTCTAACTATTTCAGGTTCTACTGGACCAACTGGTTCACCTGGTTCCACAGGAGCAACTGGTCCTACAGGTCTCACTGGTATAACTGGTGCCACAGGACCCACTGGTCCTGCTGGTCCAACTGGATCCACTGGCCCCACCGGACCTGAAGGATCAACAGGAGCTACAGGTCCAACAGGTCAAACTGGATCAACTGGTGCAACTGGACCCACTGGTCCAACAGGAGGAACTGGGGCCACTGGTCCCACTGGACCTTCCGGACCTACAGGATCAACTGGCCCTACAGGACCTGAAGGATCAACGGGAGCAACTGGTCCAACTGGTCAAACTGGATCTACAGGAGCAACTGGACCTACTGGTCCTACTGGAGGAACTGGTGCTACTGGACCAACAGGTCCAAGTGGTAGTACTGGAGCAACTGGGCCTACAGGTCCCACAGGTTCAACTGGTCCAGTGTCTGATGATGTCAATGAGTGTCTTGTTAACAATGGTGGATGTTCACAACTTTGTGTAAACACATTCTTCTCTTACTATTGTGACTGCAGCCCAGGATACCAACTTGAAACAATAAATGAAGACAATTGTGTCGGTAAGTGCTCCCAAGGAACCAGTTTTCATGGATAAATAAATGTTGAGAACTGATCTTTTGTCCTTGAATTGTAGATATTGTTTATATCTTATTTTTATCAGGCAAGGTTGAAAAATAATCTTAGATAAGTTATTAGATATTAGAAAATTGGTGCAATTTTTCTGAAGATCATGAGAGTTGGGAAAGATTTGTCAAAGAATAGCCTTTGTTACAAATTTACATTTTTATGAATCTATATTCCATGTCATAGAAAGGTTAACTGTTTTAGCATTGTGGATTAAAAATTCAATCAAAAACTTTTAATTCAATATGCCTGTATTTTTGATTGATTGTAATTTGATTTTTGTACTGTTGTATTTATAAGTAAATGATGAAATAAAAAAAATAAAAAGATATAAGATATTTCATCATTTATTAATCTTTGTTGTGTTGATATCCAGGATATTTTTCAATGAAAAATGTTTGTGTTCATTTTCAGCCGATACTCAATTCTGCAGCAAGGTATATAGAGCCCACGGATTTGTTGACGCATGTTTCTGTCAATCCCGACTTTCGGATGATGTGATACCATTAAATGGAACCAATTGTTCAAGTAAGGCCTTGATTTGCTCATTTTTGCTCCTTTGTTTGGGCATCTCTTAGTTAGTCACATATTTTTTTATTTCAAACTATTATACATTCATTTTTCAATTCTGAATAATAGACAGATTTGAGATTATTTTATTTATTTTTATATTTGTCTTATAAATTGAATATATGTTCTTTATTTCAGACTATGATGAATGCTCATATCAAAATGGCCGCTGTCAGCATTTCTGTAATGATACCGAGGGAAGCTATGTCTGTACATGCAGAGACGGTTTCGAACTCTCAGAAGATGAACACGAATGTACAGGTATGTCCACATGGGAACTCTTCCATCTCACACTTTTATTTAGTTCCAAAATAATTGCTGTGTTTATGGAAATTGGAATCTATAAAGTGAAATGTTTTTGATTCTAATGATAAAGTCTATGTGATGTTCCTTTGAAAATATCTGTTGGATAAAAGAGAATCCCCAGATGATATTTTTGTAGATGATACCAAAAGACGAAATTTAGTTGATAAAATGAATATAAAATATACTTTATAACAAGCTAGTATTCATCTGTGTAGATTTGGATAAAATTTACACTGCACTAGAAGAGACAAACTGTTAATAAATATGCTTGATAATGTGGCTTAAAGTTAATGTAACCTCAATAATACATGTCATAATATGTGCTATTTTATATTAATGTTAATATGTATTGATATGCTATACTTTGAACCTTGACATGATTTGAGCTTATGGGTATTCCATGTTAACCTCCCAAAAATCAACCACTTGCAAAAATACCACCATCAGAAATCTTAAGAGTGATAATTTTAGATGTGTTCACAAATCATATAATTAAATATAAATGGAGACCAGGGTTGCTAAAGTACAATAATCAAATCAATTATCTATTTTTATTTTAAAATGGAACATCCTGAATGTTAACATGGAACATCCTGAATCATAACATGAAACATCCTTAATATGTTAAAATGGAACATCCTGAATGTTAACATAGAGCATCCTGAATGTTAACATAGAGCATCCTGAATGTTAACAAGGAACATCCTGAATGTTTACCTGGAACATCCTGATTGTTTACATGGAACATCCTAAATGTTTACCTGGAACATCCTGAATGTTTACATGGAACATCCTGAATGTTTACATGGAACATCCTGAATATTTACATGGAACATCCTGAATGTTTACATAGAACATCCTGAATGTTAACATGGAACATCCTGAATGTTTACATGGAACATCCTGAATGTTTACATGGAACATCCTGAATGTTTACATAGAACATCCTGAATGTTAACATGGAGCATCCAGAATGTTATCATGGAACATCCTGAAGGTTAACATGGAACATCCTGAATGTTAACATGGAGCATCCAGAATGTTATCATGGAACATCCTGAATGTAATCACGGAACATGCTGAAGGTTAACATGGAACATCCTGCATGTTTACATGGAACATCCTGATTGTTTACATGGAAGATCCTGAATGTTAACATGGAACATACTTATTCATATGCTGATTTAAAACACCATACTAATGCTCATTTCTAAGTGACTGGTGCACATTTTTAAACTTATTCAAAAGTGATTAGTTTTAAGTTTATTTAAATGTGACTAATGTACATTCCTAAGCTTATTTAAAAGTTACTAATGTAGATTTTTCAGCTTATTTAAAAGTTACTAGCCTTTGTTTCTTAGCTTATCTCTAAATCAGATATTTTACTCTTTCTAATCAACCTATCCCTTTAACTGAACGTATATGCACATATATTTTATCTGTACTAATTGTTAACCTAAGGGGCAAATGTGACTCGGGCATTACCTGTTTCATGCCCTGTAATGCCACCTATACCTGTAAAAACAATTTATTTAAGATCTGATACTAATGCCACATAGAGTATGCTGCAAATCAAACCTAACACATATGAGTACTTAGAAAGTTTATTAACCAGAAAATGTTTGAAATAACCTTTAGGCGAGCACTCCATTAGTATACTGGACTTGCACCTTTAATATATGGTGTTTGCAACATGTGTTTGTTTTAAACCAAATGGTTGTTTGCATCATGTGTTTGTTTTAAACCAAATGGTGTTTGCATCATGTGTTTGTTTTAAACCAAATGGTGTTTGCAACATGTGTTTGTTATAAACCAAATTGTGTTTGCAACATGTGTTTATTTTAAACCAAATGGTGTTTGCAACATGTGTATGTTTTAAACCAAATGTCCTACTAATAAATAGTATTTGAGTAATACAAGTTTTATTAATATTTTAGGTACACAAAGACATAATATACGTACTATACAATATTATTTTTTGATTTTGAGAAGTTAAATATTTCTGCATGCATGCAAATTTCAATGTTTTCATGAAACACATATTTAAATGAACTTTTCAATTTGTAATCGATGCCTGCATGATTGGTTAGAATAGTGGTATGGGTTGTTTTTGCTTTTTTGCTTTAATTTGATTGGTTATTTCAGACATCGATGAATGCGCCCGCAACACAGATAACTGCGGGGCGGATGAAACCTGCGTTAACACAAATGGCAATCATATATGCATTGCATCAACATTTGTTAGCAATGGACTTGATGGTACCCATTCTAGTTGATATCACCTCCCTATTGTGTCCACCTCACCTCCTCTATTGTTCACCTCTTCTGTTTACCACATCTTTCCACCTCACCCTTGTGCACCCACCTGTTCTCTCGTTTAAACACTTTCCTCATATTGCAAAAGTCGAAAAATCTGCGTTTATCATGTGATGAAAGTGTGTAAACGTTTTAGATAATATATGTTTGTTTTTATTTAGATGTGTGTTTATTAACCATGTTATATTTGTTTGTACACAGACATAAATGAATGCCTAATTGAGGGTGTGTGTGAGAGCCCAGCATTGTGTTTGAACACGCATGGTAGCTTCCATTGTGTTCGATTGAATTTCGGATTTGGAGGTTTGTTTTGGGCGGTTGATAATGCATGCAGCATGCCACGTGTGATACATGCTGCCTAGGGGAAGGATTTAGAGACTTCAAAGCAATCCAATGCATGCACTTATAATGTTCTGCTTGCTTCACAAATCCCAATATCTAGTACAGTACCCCCAGCAGATTTTTAGGCAAAACTGCAAGGTTTGGAGTAATTCATAGTGTCCCTCTTTATTGATTGTATTTCACATTTGTACCCCATTGCAGACATAAATGAATGCCAAATACAAGGCGTGTGCGAGGAGACCGCACTGTGTATGAACACACATGGTAGTTTCCATTGTGTGACACTCAATTTTGGATTTGGAGGTTTGTTCTGGTTTTTTAATGGACCAGCTGGAGAGTGGTGCTTTTTCATATAATACCTGATCTCTTGAATGTACATTGTTCAATATATTGCTTAGCTTTAGATATGCTTATAGTTGTCCCTATAATGTTGTAGTGGGATACCTGTAGTATGCAATGCAATCTTAAATCACCCTGTAGAAGTAGTTTACCCTGAATCGTCCTATATATTCAACAAATCCAGGATTAGCACATTTTGGTGGGCTAGAATTTCCTCAACTCCCTGATTTCAAATTGTCTTAACTGGTACAGATCATGCATGCGAAAATACCAGATTTTGAAAATTGACTAATACCTGCTAACTCGGTCAGTTTTTAAGTAAATGCTTGGAATAAATTCAAATTTTACTGGCAATGGAGAACTTGTGACAACTTTAATAGTCTAGTCTAGTCTGGTCAGGTAAGTATGGTATGATAACTAGCTTATCATTTAAACACCTTTTTTATATATACTCATCCAACCCTAAAATGTGTGTCACTAACTATATTTGGAGTGTTCTGTCATCAAATGTACTATATTCTAAAATATTCTGTCTATATTCTGGAATTGAAGTTTGAATTGAGTTTTCAGACAAAACAATACTTTCTGATTTCCCATTGTTTCAACGGAGTTCAAGTCCAAATGATCAGAACTTAATTTTAGCTGGATGGTCCGGGTGTTTTTTTGTCATATTTACAATTCAACATATAATTGATATATCTCTGGAGATTGACAAAATTGTTAATTGTAAAACATATTGGGGTAGAAATAATTTCTGCAAAATGCTTATTTGATCAATTTTACTACTTTTCCAGACTTAATATAAACACTGCAGTTGCCATGGAGATTTCTTGGGTCATATTTGACTAACTGTAATGTTTCGGAAGTTTAATAAAATTGAATAAAATTTCCAACATATACTCTACTGTCTCAGGTGTATAGTTGTTGTATTAGATGATGAAGCAATGTTTATGCTGTAAACTGCATGGTCTTATAGTCTTATTGTATGACACTTATTGTTTAACACTTATTGTCAAGCACTTATTGTATAGATCCTTGGTGTATGTGCTGCATGCCTCTCTCTCCTTGCTGATGTTGCTTTAAATGTAGTTGTTATTGTATTAAATTATAGCCTAGCCTATATCTAGGTCTACTTGTGAATATTATAGATAAAAACATTTATATACCAGTTAAAATGCCAAACTTCTGTATATTGTACCTCCTAGTCATATTTTTTATTAAATATTTCAATTGTATTTGTTTATGTAGCAATTTAGATATAACAAATTTAATTAAGTATTTTTGCTTTCATTTATAAAAGTTTAACAATGATTTATTTAGAAGTAAAATCCTTTAGTGCAAATATGAATAAATACGCTCTACAAAATTTCACATATTCTGTATTAACGAGAATATTTATTTTTCAGCTGCTCCGCAAGGTCAAGTAGGTGCAGGATTACCAGCCAACGTTGCTGTTCAAGTTAGCACTTTAAATACAACAGTAATAGGGGTTGTAGCCTGGGCCGTCATCATGACCATAGCATTAGCATTAGTAGCAGTAATTGTATGGAGAAAGTTTAGAAAAACTGGTTCGCAGGCAAGTGATGAAAGCACGATTGGTTCACAATCCGAACCAAGCGAATCTGACAATAGCTCCTTAAGTGGGTTTACAATAGATGGATTCTCAGGTGAAGACAACCCAAATTTTAGCCCTGATGCAGCTGATGCACCAGCTGCATCACCATCTGATGTCCATACAGTATCTAATGAAACTAACGCAGATATTGACATTGTTGGTACCAGAATGTGACAGTACAAGCCCACTACCTTGCAGTTTAAAGAAAATATATAGAGCATCCAGGTCTGAAGTTGAAGTGCAACTTGACCACCCGGAGTATGTAATCTCAAGGACGTTTCTTCAACATTAATACACACACAACGTCACTGGAACTAACACCCCGGGCTATGTCTTGTTAAAGCATAATAAAAACACTGACAGTAAGCGTTATCTCGAGGGCTGTGGGATGATTTCCCACTGTTTGTTGTTACTGATTTGTTGTGTTATATTTAATTCAATATAATGCCCTGTTAAGTGTTTGAATACGTAGGATTGTTACAAGGGTTTCGAGAATAGTTAATGATATTTGAATTTTTCATGGTATAACTTGTAATGAGTGATATCACTGTTTGTTGAGTTTAACTTGTTGTTTATCATAAATGTTACTGTATAGGATCACATGGTGTACATATTCAGATTATTGTATATAAAAGCATATATAGCTTGTCATACTTCTCGTAACCCTTGTATCGTTCCAGTGAGAGAACTTGTTATGGTTGGACAATGGAAGCACGTCACTATTGTTAAGGGATTGATCGTTTTCGGTCTCATTGAAATATTAAATGTATAAATGTATAATAAAGTTCGGAATGGTGCAAAGGAGTCTTGCCAAATGGTAAAGTTTAACATTTCCAACGATTGGATCCACAAAATTTCCATTCAAGGAGACCCCTTCTGTCAACAACAATTTTTCATGGTGCCAGTCTAGTCATTTAGACCACTCATACATTTAGTGTGTTACTGCACCTCATTGCAGGAGTCTTTAAGTTCAGGTACTCCTTTCAAAGTTTTCATCAGTTTCATTTGACATCTTTTAGCAATGATTTGAAGGGGTCTCCGGGCGCAGACTCCTCCATAGTAGTATAACTAATTAGTGTCTTCCATCTGTAGTATCATCATACCATATATGGTTTGATGAAACATTCTTTATCACTGCCAAATAGAACAGCGGCCTTCATGTATAATGCGTGTGACAAATCTTTGAATAGACTTGATATGAAATGAGCCACTTCCATCAATGGATTTCATTAGACAGCAGGGTCTTTTGTCTCTTACACTCATTATAGACATCTTAAAATTGATACTTCAATGATCACAAATGGTATTTTCCAGTATTTTGCCCACTCATAAATCAGGATGAGAACGGCAATTTCAGAAGATTTCAAACTTCTTTCAGGACATTCTTCCACGAAAGGGAATGATCTTAATCAATAATTGTATCATATTGACTTTTTTCCAGAGATTACCAAATTGAGATTATTTAAGAAACTCAAACAACTATCTGATCAGAAAAATCTGTCCAAAGTAAAGCTATATGGTGATTGTAAAGTTTGTAAAATATTAAGATTGTGAATTCGTTTTATATATATATTGAATCTGCTGTAACACTGTGCAAAGATGTATTGTATTTATATATCTGTGAAAATACTCCACTATTGTCATGATTCTCTCAGTTCTGCTATATTTATATTCTCTTTCTGTCTAGATAATATATATCATATGTATACATTATATTAGTAGCTTTTGCTTAACATATGAAATTTCCATCTAACTTAAGACTTACATGTATAAGGCGCCCTAAACTTATTTTTCTATATAAATTTTAATATCCAAATAAATCATTGGGTAACTTGTAACCATGGCAACTTGGTCAGGAAGTACTTATGTGATTTTAATAAAGAAATTTTAAATTAAAAAAATAAAGTAGCAGTTTGTGTTTTGTTTAAGGACATCTGAAGTTTTAAAGAATGAAATGTTATTCCTCAATTGCCTTTTATTCCTCTTAAAGAGTTCTTCCTTTATATTTTAGCTGCATGATATCCAATGAGCAAACTTTTTATATGTGTAGCTTAAATCTATGCATTCCTGAAAGCATGGTTCGGATAGTATATTGGTGTAATGATGACTGAATGGTACATACTAAATCATTTCCATAAACGGAGTATATACCACCCTCCACTTTTTCGTACATTAGGTTGCAGTTGTATATTACGGTAAGGTAGCATATTTTATTAATGCTGATAACAGCCGGGCAGCAAGACCCCTGGTTTCAATTGTCTACATTGTTTGGCATTAAAATGTGGTGTTCTTACGCGGAGAGAAAGTAGTTCGTTAATTGGATTTCTATAAAAATGACAGCCTGTTTCAAACTAAGTTAAAGGGTATTAGCAAAAATTTTAAATGTATATTTATCCAATATTATGTGAGAGTGTAGTCTCAAGCGTTGGTCTGATGTATATGCTCCGTCGAGGGTAGTAATCAATACTATATTTTACGTTTTTGCTTTAGTAATTGTGACTTGAAATGGTGTTTTCAACAAAAAAGTTGAAAATCTGACAAACTTCTGTTTGCCACGACAGACATGCGTGATTGTTTCAATATTAGCAGCGTAGATCAGGCATCTTAAGCTCAACAATTCTGTGTAATTTCAGGAATTATGATAATATATTTAGCGTGTTACAAGCAATTCAATTTTCGAAATGAGATATCTCAGAAATTTCTGAAGAAAATTTTTGTTGAACGTTAGCGGATTAATATATCGTGACGTCACGGATTTTAATGCTAACAATGGACTTGAGGGGCTTGCTGCCAGGCTGATAATGCCACTGCTGGAAGCCCAAAAAAGGCATTAAAGAACAAGAATGGTGATATTTGAGCAACCTGTCTTTAGCATATTCTAACTTTACTCTGGACATTTTCCAACCAAGGATACCAATGAGTCCAGGGTCCCAATTTGTGGACTATTATGACAAAATTAATTTTTTGCGAGATGGAAATTCATTTAGTGTTACATCCAGTTATTTTGTGTATTTCAATCTAAATTCGAATTCAGACCCTTCCGTTCGAGGAAATATTCCAGGGTGAAAAATTTTGAATGTAAATGGTTCTTAAAGAGGAACATGAGAGAAATGTTTCAGTACAATCATCTATACAAATATATTTGTAACAGAAAAATACGACAATCCTACAAGATCCTATGACAAATAATATTGGAAATATAGCAAATAAGATGTAACGATACAGTGAACCAGTGAAAATAAAAGCAACAATATTCCAGTACATGATATTTAAAAGGCGTCTATATCAAAATATGATATTCCTTCTGGGTAATTTCTTTCGTTAGAGCAATTCATAATACTTTATTTGTATTTGAAGTTCATTGTTTTCCTCAAATATGTCTTGTGCCTTGAGATTTACACTACTGTACAGGGTGTCCCGAAAGTATGGGCCCCCCCCTAGGCAGACATATACCAATGTCTCCATAGTATGCGTCATATATCATTTTAAAGCTTATCCAAAGTTACATTGATTCACCAAGTATCATGGTTCAACTCTCAAATGTGAAAAAATTACAAGCATTTCAAAATTTAGTGTTTGGTCAAAATTAAGTTAAATTTTACACCAAATCACTAGTCAATGTGTCCTCCCGGGCCATCTTAAAAGCAGCAATTCTTTACGGGTCGGATGAATATTGAGTTGGAAAAAGAGAACGGTGACTCTAAGGAAACTCTTCTAAAGTCCCTTAACAGGTTTTAAGAGGGTTATACAATTCCACACCCCTATTTGAAGGGCTTTTAAGGTCATATCTGAAAATAATTGCTGCTGTTAACATGGCCAAGGGGGGCACATTGACTAGTAATGTGGTGTAAAATTGAACTTTATTTTGACAAAACACTAACTTTTAAAACGACTGTAACTTTTTCCCATTTGGGAGTTAAACCATGATACTTGGCAAATCAATGTAACTTTGGATAAGCTTTAAAATGGTATATGACACATACTATGAAGACACTGGAATATGTCTGCCTAGGGGGGGCCCCATACTTTCGGGACACCCTGTATACTTCTATATTACACGTTACCTTTGATTAGTGACCCACTGAAATGTGATCATTCCCCTAAACAATTGTCAAACTGAGATGGATGTTTCTGCATGTCATGGTAAGCAGTAAGATGATAAAGCAAATATAACAGACACACTGCACATTTATTTTATGAGCCAGGACACAGAAAAAGGGGTTCAATCTCAGATTTGTTCAATATTTTGAGCCATGGCTAATGTCCTAACAATTCCTCTTTGCAGATATAGACAAAAAGACAGATCTGAATTTAGCACATTTTCCTCTAAATCTTGGGTACATTTTTGGATTTGTAGCACAATTTTAATTTTGTAAGACCGGTTTTCCTGTGTTGAGGCTCATAATAATTCATTGAATCACTCTTCACAAAGCTGTGGTTTCCGCCTTATGTTCCTCGTTTTCCACATTTACATTTCCATGAATCAATTTCCGTCTTTCTTGAGTGGTGCCATCAATTACAACTAAGCCATCTTTTACAATAATTTCATCCATTTGTGTGTCCATACGATCTGGTAATGTTCCATTGGCTTTCACATGGCCATTCTGAGATCTTGTGGATTTCCGCCACGACCAATCTTGTACAATGTCCTCCAGTGGCTTATTAAGGGTCTCCGGGAGCAGACAAATCAAAACTGCACACACAAGAGCAAAGCTGCCAAACAATATAAAAGGAATGGGTTCTCCAAATTTGGTCTGAAAATAAAATATTGGAATTCTAAAGTCATAAATCTGAATCAAAAAATGTGTGTGAGCAACCACTGTATTATTCTTGTGGGGGTCATGTGTTAGCATTTCAATTTCCAAATTTGAAAACTGCTCTAGACTTTGGATATCATTTTTTAATAATTTTCAAAGGGAGCATATTTTGATTTATTCTCAATGTTCATTGATATGGCTTGTATCAGAATGACCAGTAATCAAACCCTCATATATTAACTGCTAAAACTATCACGGTCATTTTAACTTTTAACTTTATATCAACTTACTAGAAAGACTATCTGTGGAGCCACTATACCCCCAACTCTAGCAGACATTGAACAGGCACCAACTCCAATGTTCCTGTAAAATAAACCAATTCTATTCAATTTACTTAACTGGGAGCCCTTGCTAAAATGGCTAGATAATTTTGATAAATTAACACAAAAAATCATACATCAAAATATGTATTATTGGTCTACGTTTGGTTTATGATTTAAGATATTATGTTACTATGACAACCATTACTTAAATTCTATTATTAAGATAGTAAAATGATAAAAACTGGCAGAAATATTCTGGTATCCATGAGGTATAATCTTCATCATGTGACCAGAGTCTTGATTGTTCAAAACAGGGCAGAATGAGAGAGAAGACAGTGTACCTTATCAATGTGGGGAATAATTCAGCTGCAATAATTTGTGAAGCTGCCCAAGCTCCAGAAATCCCAGATTTGCCAAGCATGGCCAGGACAGTCACAAGAACACTCAATTCTTCCAGTTTACCTGCAACATATATATTAGAATCAAAATCTTATGAGGAATTCGTAGTGAACACAGTAAATACACTGGCAAATAAGACATTATATTAAAGAAACACATTTTTTAAGATGATGTATACATAAATCTGTTTGATTAAGTTCCCCCTCTTAAATGTTTAGGGGCCTAGTTTTAACTTTTGCCTTTACATGTTTATGCTCTATAGGGCAAGTAAATACTACAAAGGTGAGAACTGATCCCAAGAGGATCATCTACACATTCAAATGTAATTTCGCTTACGAACATATAGCTTGACCACCCTATGAGGATATTTAATGGCCATAAAGTGGATGGCTAAGAAAGTAGCTTTCGAAGTGGCAGAACGGAATCTTTACACTCACTGACTTTTGCAACTTAACTGACCAATGAAATAATCAAATATTAAGTTTATTCACAAGTGTTAATGTCTAACAAATCATCAAAAACATAGTTCGATTAAAATGATCTAGACAGGAATGATGCATAAACTACATCAAAAATCATGATGTTTGACTAACCTGCTAAATCAATAAATAAGATAACGAAGCAACTTAGGCCTCCTATTGACAGTAGTATAAATATTGTTTTCCTTCTTCCAATTCTGAAAGTACAAAAAAGTTGTAAGAAAATGTTTGAATAAAATACTATAAAATACAGTTAGTATACAGAGTGAGCTATGACATGGCATTAACAAGGAAGTTTGATATGTAATGATTTTGAGTGATATCGTTTTTATTAACACATTGTTGATATTTGATATCTGCAAGTCCAAGGATGATATAAAGGGAAATGCTCTAACACTGGGTTTAAATCACAAGATTACAATCAAATCTTCAATTGCCCTCTCCCCAGGGTTCCATATGCACGGAGAAATTGGCTTTCAGGCACGGAATTGTAGAATTTTGAATTCTGATCAATTCCTGGGAAATTTTATGCAGAACTAACATATTTTCTAAAGGTATGAACAATCAGCCTAACTTGGTAATTTGATATTATCTGGAGTAAAATTCCTTGTGGAAATCAACCACAAATAGCCAAAAACTAGCTATCACACAGTCATTTTAAATAGAGTTGAATGGTTCTGAATAGGGATGAGACAAATCAATTTTTGGTTGGATAAGACCTCAGCCAAAATCAGATACAGAGCGGTCAAAAAAAGGAAACCCTTGCACTATTTTCCTCATATCTTTTATCATTTTAAGAAATAACTCCCTCACATTTGTACATTTCATTTCATTTTCAATTGACTTACATATCTCACACAGACACCATACATCATTTATTTTCCTACCGGCCTACTATATTTCATGACCATCATACTGATAGTCAGGTAGGAAATTGAATAATGTACAAATGTGTCAAATCTCAGGATAGATTTCTTAAAATGACAAAGATAAGAGGAAAATGCAAGGTTTCCATTTTTTTACCACCCTGTACATGGATTGAAAAATGTTCAATATGAGTTCTGAGATCGTCATTCCACTATGGTAATATCATGGGCGTAGCGCCCGGTACGCTGGGTACGCACAGGCGTACCAGATGGTTGCAAATTCGCTCCAAATACAACCAAATTTCAACATTTTCCTGGGGGAGAACGCCCAGACCCCCCCTGAATGCTTGTTTTTTTGTTTCTCTCTACTCTTGCTCCCATGCGGGCTCTCGTGGTGGTATACTACTTAGAAAAAGAGCGCTACACCTATGAATACATACATGTAATACGTACCTGTTATTTATTGCTAAGACTAGAAGTAGAGCTGGTATCTCAACAAGACCAGATATGAAAAAATTCAGATAACGACTTCCTGAGAGATTTTTCACATTTAATGACAGCCCATAGTATGTTGAGCTGCACACAAACCTAGAAAATAAAGAGAAACAGATTACAGAATATGAAGGACCAACAGTAGTAAGTAAAATATTTGGAGTGTACTGTGATCTTACTTATGCTATAAAGAGGAAGGCATATAGGCAAAGCATATACTGTAAACAAAAGTAGGTAAACAAATACATGTAGATTAATCAATATGAATCAAATAGAAATTACAGCAATGGAAATACACAATACAAAAGGCTGTGATGTGTACTTGTATATCTATGTATGAGTGCCCACTAAAAAACACAGGACTCCTTCAAGGAGAGGTTTCTGGATCTTTCTTCCCCAATCGATCATGTAAATTACAACCTTACATATACGGAATATGCCCCAGAGGGGTTGCTCACCTTCATTCATCAAAATTCAGGTATCATAAAAATTGCATCCATGAACAAAACATGTTTTTCAGTTCTTTGGGTCAGGTTCACATGTAGCTCTAAAGCTCTACTCACCATGCATAACAAATAATGAGCGTGCATTTTGTCGTGGTAGGACTCCTAAACAAATCTATATAACTGTACTCCTCCCTTGTCTGTTTCTTCTCTTTCTCCTTGAAAAACAGTAATTGAATTCTTGTGGTTTACTCTAATGACTGAACTGTATATTATATGGCTAAGGATTAAAGGTAGTTAATAAGGTGATACTTAGGTGGTTCAAAAAGTTTTGCAGTTGATGCCATAACTTCAAGGAAAATAGGACTTTTACAATGAAACTTGGTACACATATGTGTTATACATTTATACATTATATGTTAAATTTTGGAATCTCAATTTTGATTGGTTCTTGAGATAAGGTTGCTATGGTAACCAGAGTGGTGGGTACCATGTTCAACCCGAAATTACGTTTTTCCAAATAGTTTTTTTGCTTGAATAAACTCTTTGCAAGTGGCAATTAGCAGGTGTAAGTGTCTTTGTGTGGCTATTTTTCTTCAAATTCAAAGAACAGACATATTTCATTAGAGGAAATAAGTGATTTACTGGATATATCTAAGGGGTCATGCCATACAATTGTCACAAAGATCTTGAAAAAGCGGTATGTTGCAGCAAAGTGGGTTCCAAAGTTCCTCACAGTGGAGCAAAATGAAGCACGTCTTGCAGCATCTAGGCAATTTCTGGATACGTTTTGGCATAATTTCCAAATGCTCCCTGAGCCAGTTCATAAGTATCTTGCAAAGTCTTGCCATTTTGAACCATGCACTGTATCAAATTTCTATGCTTCCATTTCATCAATTTGGTTGGTGTGGAAACATCTGCCATTTTGAAAATTTCCTCACTTTTCCATCTCAATTTTTCAACTGGGTTTTGGACAGTATACATCACAAAGGAACTTATCGTGTCACTTGTCTATTGTGATGTCATAGAGACAATTAGAAAAATTGAAGAATTTGAAGAAAAATAGCCACCCAAAAACACTTATACCTGCTAATTGCCACTTTACAAAGAGTTGATTCAAGCAAGAAAACTATTTGGAAAAACGTAATTACGGATTGAACATGGTACGCACCACTCTGGTTACCATAGCAACCATATCTCAAGAACCAATCAAAATTGAGGTCCCAAATTTTAACATATAATGTATAAATGTATACCACATATGTGTACCAAGTTTCATTGTAAAAGTTCTATTTTCCTTGAAGTTATGGCATCAACTGCAAAACTTTTTGAACCACCTAAGTACAATGTTCATTTGTAAAGGTTTGCATTATTTATAAAAAGTTCTTTCAAGGTGATATGAGAATTTTAAATGGCTTTTTAATAAAGTTTTTATTTGCTAGTTAAACTAGAAAAACAGCAACTCCATGGAGTAGCAAATCCCACCGAACAAAACATATTATGCTTATTATAGCTAGTGCAAATGTTGAAATGTTTGTGCACTTTGTGATAGATTATACCATTATACCAATTATACCATTGTGAACTAGGCATCATCATATAAAATTTGAACCAAATCCGTTCACTATATAAGTTATCAAAGATTACGTTTTTTACGAAAATTGGCCGCCATCTTGAAATTCAGCCGCCATCTTGGAAATTATTTCTTGAACAGAGCTACTGTGTCCCTAGGCATAATCATATAAAATTTCAACCAAATCTGTTCACTGGTATTTGAGTTATCAAAGATTACGTTTTTTACGAAAAAATTGCCGCCATTTTGAAATTAAGTGGCCATCTTGAAAAATGTTTGTCGAACATAGCTACTGTGTCCCTAAGCATCATCATATAAAATTTGAACCAAATCCGTTTACTGGTATTTGAGGTATCAAAGATTACATATTTTTACGAAAAATGGCCGCCATTTTGAAATTAAGTGGCCATCTTGAAAATCTCTTTTTGTGCGAAACTCCTTTGTCCCTAGGCATCAGCATATAAAATTTGAACCAAATCTGTCAACTTGTATTCTGGGCTTTCAATTGCAGGGGGCGAGTGTCCAAAATCGCCGTTTGTTTTCGTTAATCCGCCGTTTTGATTTGTTAGAAGTCAAATATTGTCTAAGTTTTGAGGGAAAATTAAAAGTCTTCTACAGACTAACCTTTATTTTATTCAGCGATCTTGTTTTGCACTTCCTTGTCTATGATTTGTTCCTCAGTTTCGAAATGCACTGGAACTCACTATAATCGTAAAGATCACTTGATCTCATTATAGTAGTAAACACCGTCCAATTTTTTACCCGTTTGGGCTATGCATTTTAGACCACTATCATGTGCATGATAATTCAAATTCCATCCTTTGGTATAATCAGAGTTGGTTATTTTCCACTGGACATGCAGTTACATGTATATGATTGATATAACTCTGTCCAACCAGTCACACTACAGTCTTTCCAATGGGTGTAAAATTGTGTTAATCAGTTAAAGGCCCCATATAAAATTTATCCACTTTGGCTTATATTGTTGTCTTATCCAATGTTATCAAAGTGTGAAATGTGAAAATTTTTATTAATTTCAAAAATGTTTTTGAAGGACTTTTTGTTCAAAATATCGTGAATTTATTTAAAACTAACTTTAAGTGGTCACACTTATCCTTTAAAGCGATAATTCACACCGATGCATAGCAATCATCCTCACTTGTTTTTTTGCTGACAAAATCAAGAAAATTGGTTGATAGATGAGCGAGCAATGAACTCATCCATGCATGAAAGTGGTTCAGGGAAAGATGCATTTCAAAATTTTAATTCTCATAGAAACCAATGGTAAAATAATATTAAAAACATAATATATTCATCCTTTTAACCTGGTTAGACAGTCAAAATTGGTTTATTTTTTAAGTTTAGCATATTTAGAAAAGATTGACATTGAAAAATGTTGCCACCTCAGTGATGTCACGATGTGGTCACTTAGGTTGAAAATATTTTCGATATGCTAAATCATTGAATTGGCACATTAGATATAACATTTTTAACATAGTGTGTCCGTTTTTCAATCTTTATACTGGTGTTAAAAGATATAGAGGTTCTTATATGAGTACCTGTGCAAGATCGTCCATTCTTGATGAGCTTTGATAATTCTTCTTTATCGAGTCACAGACGAGATAAAGAAACATTATCAAAGCGACTGTCGGATAAATTATAAATGTAGTTTCGCACAGGTGTCAAAGGAACCAAACAGTGAACCCCGCTTTCCCGAACCCGAGGATTCGCCTCGCATGCCTTCGACTCTTTCTCAAGATTTGGGCCCCATATTGTACCCCTACCTTATCATCCTAGTGTCTCGTTTATAACACCCTTGTAATTACAATGCGAAGTTACTTAAGCATGATAAAAAGTATATGTGTGGATGGGGGGGGGGGAGGTTTGACCCCCGGTTACCAAAAGCTGGGACATGTATACCTTTATATACTCAACCGGCCAAGTATTAATAGTACAAAAGGGAGAAAAATTCCATCAGGTCCATAATTCTACACGTTCACGTACAAGTTTAAAAAACGTGTATCTTAAATTTATTTAGAACTACGCCTTTATACCAGCGACACACTTTCACAGGTGCGTCTTTACAATGAAACACAATAACGAAAATTGCAACTTTAGGATCTTGAAAACAGTTGCAATATCCTTCCTGGTTAGAATAGGTTTCCATGTACAACTAAAAACACTATATAAAATAACTATCTATACACCATCAATGCAAATATATGCTTATGCGGGATGCCACATTCATTGCAACACACCTGTCTTATGAGGGTAATTTCTTATATTGAGAAGTTTATCATCTATTGAAATTAAATACTTGTAGCTACAAAAGGCGAATTTGTTTGAGCAGTCCTTGCTCAATATATTATAAAGAAAACAATATTTACAACATGGTATCCTTAGTACACTGTTCAATTTGGAATTCCGAAGCTAGCCAAACATCAGCATTCTAACAAAGATCATCAAAAAAGGATTTTATCAAAGTCTTCCATGCAAATGAAGGTGCGAATTCACATTAACACATTAAGTTGAGATCCACAATATGTTATCAAATGGTTAAATGCGCAAAATGTGTAGATATGTTTTCCTTAATAATGTGTGAGGAGGCCTTTCAGGCAATTTTCGAAAGCGAAGTGAGAACAAGTTTGGTGTAGAGGGGAGGGGGATATCTCCCACCTCGGTCTCTCTCTAATGCCTAGGCCACATATGCAGCGGGCGCTGGCCGATGAGTAGTCATCGGCCGATTTCTAAATCAGTTTCGACAAAATTTTAGATACAAAACATGAAGGTACAACAAAGTAAAAATTTTAAGACAATTGGTGTATATTTAACAAAATACCAGCACCAGTCCTGTAACTTTTGGAACACCCTGGACCCTCTGGAGGTGTTAAAAAAACTAAAATGAATCTGATATACACATAATCACAAGTGAATCATCTATTAATACATCACTCTCATTTTAATAATGACAATTCTAGATTTTGATTTATATCAAAAGTGTTCAATTCAACAGGTGCATTTGGATTTGTGAAATGCAACCTGTGTAAGGGTAAGTTATCTTATAAAAGGTAAATGACATTCTATATAAGTTGCCCTAGTCATTCCACAGTTCCAGGTGTTATTTTGTGGAGCCAATGTCTTGCCATATCACACGTGGAAATGACTTTGACAAACCTTGGACACCTTTCTTTCAGTCCATGGACTCTAAAATTTTGAATTGAGCGGCCATATTGAAAATTCCTTCTCGAGCAGAGGTCCTACACTCATAAGGCATAAGCCTATAAAATTTGAACCAAATCCGTCAACCAGTGTTGGAGTTATCGCCCAGACACACGGACGAACAGACGGACGGATGGACGGCTTCTCTATATCCCCCTCGAACTTCGTTCGATGGGATAATTAATGTAAATACAATTGAACTGTAGAGGGTCAGACTCAGAGACATATTTGGTAGAACTTTCCCAAGGACCTTTTCCCTGATTGTGTGCAAAGTCCTCATTTTCACAAGAAGTTAGTCAAAACAAGTTAATTTCTAATCCTCATAATTTTTCTTAAAAAACCACTGGTACACTTGCTTCTATTGACTTTGGTACCTGTAGTCTGTGCATGTTGTTTGTGAACAAGAGTCTAGAAAGTCCATATTTGTTTTACCAGATTTGGGGTGTTAGATTCCCATTATTCAATAAGTTAAAGAAGTATACAGTCTCATGACTAAATAAAAAGTACACGATTATGAATAAATGAGTGCATTACCTCCACATATTGTTCAAGGAATGTTAAATCTGGTACAGGTTTATTGTTATATTTAGCTATGTGGCGTATGATCTGCCTAGCCTCCTCTAGTCGTCCTTTCTGGATCAGCCATCTGGCACTCTCTGGTACAAACCTATAAAAACACAACACTAGTCAAGAAAATCTTTTAACCATATACAATTACTCAGATTCGAGTAGGTAGTTACCCGTTTCGCCACCAGGTGGCTGATTCAAATTAAAATATGTCCAGTAAAAGAAAATATTATCTGGCCAACACAAGAAAAGATATTTCACTTTTTGTAGTTTTACAACATTGGGTCTATGGGGAATCTCCCCGTCCTAGAAGTCACATTTTCAAAGAAAATTAAATTTTCAAAGTTGATAAACTCTTTTCAAAACCACATTTTTAGATGTAATTTTATATGTAGATTCTACATTGTGAATGAATGAATTGTGAATTTTTAATGACGTAAATCAAGATTATTTCTACTCGCATCTAGGATATTCATCTAAATTACCAAACAGCAAGTGAATTTTTCTTTAAAATTGTAGTGCCTGTCTTATGGCTGGCTATACTAAAGCAAACATATTACAGCATTCACACGTCATAAAGAACAACTGATAAAGATGAAAAGCTATTCTTTAATATACTATTTTGAGGTGTTTAATTTAAGTATCAGAAATGCTTTTATGTAATCATATCATATACAACTTAGTACTTTTTAAAAAACCTAAAAATCTATCTTGACTGTGTACATTCTTGTAGTTTGCCAATTTGGCATTCATAGTAGATGAGAGTCCTAAGATAAACAAATGTTATTTTTCTGAGTTTGGCAAAATCATAACATTAAATACACAAGGCATAAACATGACAAAATGTCACCATTCTTCCTTGTAAGTTATTGCAAATTGTTACAGACACCACAAATTGCAAACAAATGCCAAACGCACATTGTTACAGATGCTGAATGCCGAACAACATCTAGAAAAAAGTTGGAGACTATAACAATATGTCACCGCTTGTGGTGGTGACAATATAAACTGAGCATAAAACCTTATTATCATAGATACTAGTATTCCGTAATTCCGCGGCGTGGACGGAATTTGACAAAACTTCAATTTTTTGCAGAATCCCTGATTTTCATGAAAATCCCGCTGAATTACCAGAATTTCAAGAAATTACATATTTTACGATCTCCTACCTTTGCGGGCTATTTGAAGAGTGTCTGTTTATGTTCAACAATCAATCATTATTGAGTACAAGTAAGATTTCATCGTGAAATTCAACATTCTATCACGTTTAAATTCGCTAAAGCGAGTTCGCTAATGACGCGCAGTTCTTACCTAGAAAGTAGCTGACTTCTGTTTCCGTTTTTCATCGTTTTAAAAGATTGCAGAATTTGGACTTTTTTTGAAAATTTGTGCAGAATTTCGATTTTCTCCTTGCAGAATTTGCTTTTTCTTGCAGAATTTTGTGCAGAATTTTTCATGCAGAAAACTAGTATCTGTGTATTATGGGATTCCATTATGAGATTTCTTACCACCATGTTAAAAGGAGTAGAGATCCACAGGCAGAGGTGGCCATTGAGAGATGGCGCCAGTCTCTGATAAAATATGCAAAAATTGGCAAGGTCATAACCCCGACAGCCCAGAATCCTACACAGCCACAGAATGTCCGCCATCTTGGGCTGATAAACTCCATGGGGAGAACAAAGTTTACCACCATAGTTCCTGAAACAAGAGGTGATAATACAGGGTGTGACATTAATGTTGGTCCATATGCCGCCATAAAGAATGACAATGTAACAACTCTATTCAATTTTCTAAGAGGTCAGAAATCTTCATGATGCAAACAATGTTTTAATACTACTTTAAACTACTTTAAGCATCCTTTTTTCATCAGCATTTTCCTTTTCAAATGACCTTATTTATTGTTATAGTGCACCAGCCCATGTGTTGTGGCTTACATTCTGCATAGTGGATAATATATCAAAACATTCACTAAAAATATATACACACAAACATAATTATTTCTGCTTGGAGGAGAGAGTAAGTCTAAAACATGTGGTATATTTACATTTTTTATTTTTGGAAAATCATTGTACACCTGATGAGGAAATCAGATCCCTAAATATGTGTAATTGTACCTCCGATAAGACCGCCTACGAAGAACCTGCATGCAGCATAAAGCTGCCATGAGTTGGCAAATGAAGATGCAAATCCAACGCCTAGTAATAATGCATATATGATGTAGAATATTTTCCGCCTCCCGAATGTGTCAGCAAGTTGTCCAGTAATACATGCACCAACGAGTACACCTACCATCTGAACTGTTGTGATGAGATCACTTACGTAGTCTTGGTTACATATCAGACCCCACTGGAAAAATAGTAACAAAACAGGCTTAACTGAAAGAAATGGTAACATATCAAGCCCCACTGGAAAAAATGGTAACATATTAAGCCCTACTGAAAGAAATGGTAATATATCAAGCCCCACTGGAAAAAATGGTAACATATTAAGCCCCACTGGAAAAAATGGTAACATATCAAGCCCTACTGAAAAAATGGTAACATATCAAGCCCTACTGAAAAAGCGGTGACATAACAGGCACAACTGAACGATGTCAACATACAAGGCATCACTAAAATACTAAGATATCAAGCCCAACTAAAAAATTGTCAATTATTCTGGTTACATTGAACAAATGGTAATACACTTGGCCCCACAGATGAATTGGTAAAAGTGATATATCAGGTTCATCAGTCAAGTTTGTTGTAAGTTATACACCTCCCCAAAACATAACATGACAAATTGATATTTGAGCAAGCCTTTTATAATATTTAACCTTGAGTGTGGATTGTACTTACTAATTACTAGTAACTACACCTATAAATTAAGATATAATCAATTCTAAGTCAAATCTACCTGCTGCTGTCATTATAGGTATAAATCATTATAACTTTTTAGGTTAACTATTACTGACTTACTTCTGATACCACTGATGTATAATCTTTGGAATACTGCACTGATTGACAAATACTTCCATCTGAGCTACATGCCCCTGTTTCTGCATATGTCATGTTCCCACTACTATAGTTACCATGGTGATCAACTGTCCTGTTACCATGGTGATCACCTGTGACGTTTTCATTGTCATGATTTGTATATGTGTAGTTCATCATCAAAGGACATGACCATGTGGGTGTTGCTCCTGTGAATACAGGCAGTAACATTGCCCATGCTGCCGGAGTCTCAAACAAACTGACCAACAAAAATATCCTTCTTTGATAAGGCCCGAAGCCTCCTAACTGTTCTATGACGTCCTCAAATTGATTGGCTGTCATGTTGTTGCTGAGATTCTGTTGTTCAGCTGTATGTTAATGCCTGGAATAAAAAGATGTTACGTGATTATGAATAGACCTCTGCCAGATCTCCCTCTTTCAAATGACGTGTACTCATATGAAAAAATTATGTCTTAATATACTACCATACTCCTCGTCATTTTGACATACTTTTAAGAGTAAGATATTGACATTGTCAGATGGTAAAAGATGAGGCTTTAGACAAACTGCATAATGACATAAGAAAAAATATGTGGTATCGATAGTATAACTGTTTAAAAATAAATAATCTAAATCAAGTTTAATATTATTAATAAGTCATTCATAAATCAAATGATTATATAATGATTTAATACTTTATATAAAACATACGTTTTTTTAATGAAATGACTAAATACAAAAATATACAAACGTCCTTTTGCCGAAATTTTCCCTGTTAAAAGTTATCAACTATTTAACATTCTACATACTTTCCTATCAGCAACTATAGACATAATTACCAGTACGTATTTTCCAGGTGAAATCTTAACAGAGTAAAAATATAAACATGAGTAACATAGGGACAAGGCTGAAGGAGGACAAGGTAACATACTGCATAACATTCAGGCTGAGTTATAGGGGCAAGGCTGAGGAGGAGAGGAACAAGGTAACCTGTCAAAATAACCAACTAAAGCCTGACTTATAACACTGGGCAAACCCTTGGAGTAAGGGGGAGGCCCAGAGGGGAGGGTAACAATGTAACATGTCAAAATAACCAACTGATGGAGTAAACAAGATGAGCAATTTAAGTGGCTACATTGTACATATACCAAAATACCAGTCTTTCTTTTGGATATATACAGGGTGTCCAATAATTCTTCACTTATTCAACACATGGAAATACAAATATACATAATATGTATCATTACTTCTGATATGTACAGCAAACATGTGTTTTTACTAAAGATAGTAGACCTAGAACAGGTAAAGTACATGTATGCTTTTAAAGTATAAGTTTTAATCTTAATACTAGATTTTTGCGTCAGAAATCTTCAATCTTGAGAGGAAATTGATATGGAAAAAATGCTTTAAAAGGGGCTTTGTATAAAAAACCTCCTACCTCATACCCACCTACCCACGTACGTTGGACATGAAACAGTCTTTGAAGGGTTCAATTTTAAAGATCTTAGTGTATTAAATCTTAGTTTATGATGAATTATAGATGCATTTGTACGACCCTTGATAGCAAGTTGCTACTACAGCCCAGCTGGGTTCGATTCCCACTCGGGGCATGAAATTTAGCACACTTTCTTTCAATTTCTTTATCTGGCTTGTTGGTCCTATGCTCGTGTTCATGGTTAGTTATTCGTTGGGGCGCCCTCGGGTCATTACACATTACAATGCACCCATATGCCTATTTATGGATCTGTCATCCGTCTAGTCATAAAATAAAGCCGGAATTGTAGAAATGTTAATATTTAGAGCTATTTTGAGATTTAAAAATCTTTAAAATTGAACCCTTCAATGACCGTATCATGTCCCACGTAGGTGGGTAGGTGGGTATGAGGTAGGAGGTTTTTAAAAAAAATGAATTTGTCTACATACCCCTGAAACTCTTATCTAATAGATAGAATGCACAAATAAAACAAAAGTTTTGCTATTATAGGTGAAAAGTTCTCTTAAAAATTCAAAGTGATTTTACCTGTTAATTCTTTACTTGGTCCGCCATGTTGGCGGAAGTTACACTGAAACGCAAACTCCATTAAACAAAACGAAATCACTAGAAAAAACATGACACACATTGTGGTCATTTTGGTAAATATGATTTATGGTATATACTTTTCTGCAGTTTGAGGGAGTTTGGGACATTAAATGTTAAAATTCAAGAAAATATGCCAATTATACGACTTATCAATTATTTTGTATCAGCACTATACACATATTTCGGACCAAATGCGTGACATAAACGGCAAACGATTTTTAAAAATATCAACATAATACGTAATTTGCATGGTATATGATCATAAATGCTAAATTGATGCATAATTTCAATTTTTCCAGCAAATGCGTGACAATCTTGCCTAATGCGTGAGTGTTGACAGGGCTGCCAAGATTACCCATGAATAAACATGCCTTCAAATATTAAAATAAACTGAATAACTCTGACTGTCAAAAACATCTTACCTCAACAGAAACTCTTGTAAATATGAGAGCATCAAATTATGCTGACACATAGTTTTTTCTACAGATCTGGCGATTTTTATGCAAGAGAAGCATTTTTTCAATTTGAAAAATAAGGAGAAAAAATGGTGAAACTTAGGAGACCTATTTCCAATGTATCCATACATAAGATTAACTATTTTCGTGCTTATCATGTCAAACATAGTACGATTCAATTAAATAACGTACCTTTTCAGACCTGGAGGCTGAATAACTACAGTAAAACATCGATAATTGCACGTGTTGGTTGCGCCATGTCCTCTCCGGAAAATTGTATTTATTTATTTCCTCACTTTAGGAGAGCTCTTAAAAACAGATGCTGCCATCTATAGGAATTGAGGTCTTCTGTCATGGAGTGACATCTTTTAAACTTTACAATGATTTGAACAGCTAATGGATTTGAAAATAGAGATAATAGGAAACTGCACTTGCCAATTTGTAATGATGGTTAGATTTAGCTCTTGTATCAGAGTTTGTAATCTGAGTTATATTCAAAACTAAAAGGTAAAGGAGATCAGGCCCATAGCCAGAGGGGGAGCTGAGGGAGCAGAAGCTCCCCCCCTGACGTCTCTGCCCCCTGGCCAGAAATTCTTTGAAAATCATGCAGTTTTGCACCATTCTGAGAATTTTTCGCATGATTTTTAGCCAAAATTGTGAAAAAGCTACCCCCTAGAAAAAAGCTCCCCTCCTGGTAAAAGCTGGCTACAGGCAAGGAGATTGAAGTTGTGCTTGCAATTTTTAGAGTGCATTTTGAATCACTATGTAGTGATCTCTACCTCCATGCTCCTGTTTTTTGAATAAGTGATCTCTACGTCCATGCTCCTGTTTTTTGAATATGGTGCAGAGACACTCTCTTTTTTCCTATTTCTATAAGGGACAAATTTAGTACCTCTAAAAAGAAATAACTTGAATTGCCTGTTGCTATGTCCAACCCCACCTTAGCCGTTCTTCCATTTTCCTGCTCCTGTGTTCGAACTTAGATTGAATGGGGGGGGGGCTCAATGCAATACTATTTCTTAAAGTGCATGCTATGTTTGAAGATATGGCACATCTTTTGTATCAGTTCACATGTACTACATTAATGTAATAGAGCAAGAGTGATTTTCAGTTTATCTTCCGTTATTATTTATTATTCATAATATTAATACTGTCTCATAGCTGTACAATTGAAAATATCAAGAAATAGCCTAGTTCACAAGTCTATATACAAAATATAAATAACAATCAAATTATATCACAATACTAATGTTTTTAATGTTTTTTAATGCTGGTGTCATCAAACTATTGGCAATTTTTCTCGATTGATGAATGATGATTGCAGCAAACTTCTCAAACTGAGATAAATATGTGTACATTGACGTAAATAATGTAACAATGTAACAATATATCAATTAGATATAATATAGAATGAGCATTGGTATATTGGGCAGATATGAGATAGACAGAGACCTTTAGTATCGTACTGTACTGCACTGCACTGCACTGTACTTGCACTGCACTGCCCTGCACTGCACTGCACTGTACTGTACTTGTGTGGCATTGTGGTAAAATTGATGAATTACAGTAAAACTTCATATTGTCAAATCAAAACATTACAGTAGTCTATTAGTGTTTAGGAATTCAGCTTTGATGAAAGCTTGGACGGATTAATAAAATACTTTTGTGTACATAAAATGTATCAAAACAGCAACATAAAAAATAAATCTTTATTCTACAGTTCTAGTAAACATATACAATGAGCATCTTTGGACGGATAGTATATATTGTATTCTGCTGTACACAGTGTTGATGATAATTTCTTGGACGGATTGATGATTAAAAATATTGTATACATAAATCTACCAAAACAGTAGCCTTGTCCAAGTCGGTATTTTTTACTAATCTGATCTTGAATTATTACCGGCGGTCACAATAGAAATCAAGATAAGTAAAAGAGACCGACTTGGGCAAGGCTACCAAAACAGCAAAATCAGTGTTTATTTTAGAAAACCAATATAGTCTTATATTATGTTGTTTACATTAATCATACAAAACTGAGCATTATTCCAAATATTGTATTTAAATTTTTTATAATATCGGAAAGCATGAAGAATGTCAGTGTATAAAGTGGGCTATAAGTACTGTAAGTTACTTTAATTTGATGGCTGTTTAATTTGGCGGATTTATGACAATTGCCAAATTAAGTCTCCATCATTATTTGAATAAATCCCCATGGATTCCCTTGCAGGATAAAAACGTTTGGAAATACCCCACTAAAATGTTGGTATTGAACTAATTTCGAAGCTTTGGGTACTAATGCTGGTTATTTTTTGAAAAACGAGGGCATTATTTGCATCTTTGTATGAACCCTATAATATCCAAATTTTATTGATGGGTAAATCTGCCAAATTAAATAGCAGCCAAAATTTCAAAAGGACGATTCTCGGTTTGGAGAACAGTCTCCTGGGCTAACAATTTTTTTCATGAAAAATATAGAAATATTACCCAAATTAAACTATGAATATTCAAAAGAGGACATTTAAATCTACAAGATGTAAAAATAACAAATTGGTCTGAAGCAGGGATAACGCTCAATTAGACTGATTCAATAAAATACAAGTCTCGATTTGTGGAAAGAAGTTCATCAGTGTACTGCGCTAATACTTTTTTTGCGAAAAATCTAGAAATACATTGTATTACCCAAATTAAATTATGACTATTCAAAAGAAGACATTCAAATCTATATTATGTAAAAAATCAAATTTGTCCGAAGCAGGGATAATGCTCATTTAGATTGATGAACTTCGTTCTCCAAACCGAGAATCGTCCTTTGCCCAATCTGGACCAATACGCCAAATTAAATACATGTAGTGCTAAATTAAAGCAACTTACAGTAATTTGTGATAGATTAGTATTTTGCAATTATTGTACATGCAATGTACATCACATGTTCCATACAAAACACAAAATTATCACGTAGGTCAACCTCAATCAACAAAATGGTTCATAAAATATTTCAATTTGATAATTCATCGCAAAACTATTGTCTATTGTCAGATTGTGGGATATTATTTTGCATAACTATGACCATACACAAAAATGTGTAAACTAAAAATAAAATAGAACTTAGAAGCACACTGGTTAAGTTATCATTTAAAATTAAGAAGGTACAAATTGATGGTATATTGCACTAGGTGTTAAATGTTTGCCTTTTGCTTTCAGCCATTGTACACATCTATTCATAACACCTGTACAGTGAACACATGATGTACGCATAACTTGGAAATGTTTTTATGTAACAGATACTCTTGAGCATTTTTAAAATTCAACCAAGGCTTTAACAAAATTCAAGTATGCTTGAAAAGTCAGTTTCAAATATATTTCATTGTATCGCTACTATTTTTGGCTTTGACTTATTGTTAATTGTATTGTTTTTTTATACATTGTCCTAACTGTATTTGGGTAATCCTATCAATATGGTATCCTATCAATACTGTTGTACCGCTGTTCCCTGTCATGAATCTCCTGTAACACTACTGATCCCTGTCATGAATCTTCTGTCACTAAGTACTACTGATCCATATCCAATCTTCTGTTGTACTACTGATCCCTGTCACAAATCTTCTGTAGTACAACTGATCCCTGTCATGAATCTCCTGTAATACTACTGATCCATGTCATGAATCTTCTGTAGTACAACTGATCCCTGTCATGAATCTTCTGTAGTACTACTGATCCATGTCATGAATCTTCTGTTGTACTAATGATCCCTGTCATGAATCTTCTGTATTACTATTGATCCCTGTCATGAACCTCCTGTAGTACTACTGATCCCTGTCACAAATCTTCTGTAGTACTACTGATCCCTGTCATGAATCTTCTGTAGTACAACTGATCCCTGTCATGAATCTTCTGTAGTACTACTGATCCATGTCATGAATCTTCTGTTGTACTAATGATCCCTGTCATGAATCTTCTGTATTACTATTGATCCCTGTCATGAACCTCCTGTAGTTCTACTGATCCCTTCATGTAGTACTACTGATTCTTGTCATGAATCTTCTGATGTGCCTCTGTCCCTGTCATGAACTATTTTTGGGTGGAGATTCTTATCTGTCACCATTGTGTAGATGTTTTTTGTATTATGTCCCATCTTGTATGTTTCACGCTAAATTCTACATTTAGTTTTGGAGATGGTAAAAAGTCTTTTTTGATTGAGATGATTTTTTTAGATATCCATTTGAGTTGACAAGCTATAGTTTGGTTAAACATTGTTGCTTACAGTGCTGAAGGGGTTAATGCCCCCAACTGCAAAAAGGAGCATAGAACTTCAGACTCAAATTTCAACTATGAGAAAAACTGCAGGAACGTAGGGATTAATATCAGCTCAATACAGAAGCATGATTTTCTCGAAGTTCTAACTGCTTTAAACGTATACTATTAGATGCCCCTCTTATTTTTTGAGCTTTAGTGGGCCTAATGCCTGATATTTGATCTAAGCCTTGTTGTCCTTCTTTATCCTTTTGCTTTGACTTGCCATTTCCTTGACTCCCAAGCTCTGGTCTCTGCACCACAGGGGCAGGGGCTGACACCACAGAGAGACCCAGAGAGGCAGCAGGCTGAGGGACAGCATTCTTAGCCAGTACACTAGGTAGATTGTAAGGTGGCTGGGAGGGTTCAACACTGAGCTGAGGGTAAGAGTCACTTTGGCCTGCTAATCGTGTACTGTATTTGATTGCTGAAACATGTATGAGACTCTGTAATTCATAGCTCATCAGTGAATAGACACAATATTAACATGATAATATGTCACCACGTGCCATTAAAAAATGTGTAACCATTTGTCACGGATGTTGAGGTCATGCTGACACTGAATGTGAGGTACCAAAAAAAGTGACGGCTATAGGCCCTTATAACAATATGTCACTCACTACTCTTTGGTGGTGACGTAAAAATATATCTTAATTCTAATAGAATTGTCCACTTTTTAATCACATAATACTGTAATACTGAGTCAGAATGGATTTGATGTTGACAGTTTGAAAAATTCTTATAACATAGCACAGAAGATAATACATTAACACAAGTAGCATATATATATCTACACACCTGGATCTCTAGACCTGTGTGAAGATGTTGCAGACAGAGTACGCACTCTATTGGAGCCCGCGGAACCCTCTGTCCGCCACTCCAAGCCCCGCCCTAGCCTAGTACGCTCAAGCTCACTCTCCACTGCTGATGCAAACTGTTTGTATTCATTCTCAGATAATACTTGAGTAGAGCCCCCTCTTGCCATGTTAACATACTTCCTCGAGTTTGTCTGCTTGATTTTCTGAAATTGTAAGATTTTTAAGAAATGTTCATTTGATTTGATTTGCCCCCTCTTGCCATGTTAACAAACTCCCTTGAGTTTGTCTGCTTGATTTTCTGAAATTATAAGATTTTTAAGAAATGTTCATTTGATTTGATTTGCCCCCTCTTGCCATGTTAACAAACTTCCTTGAGTTTGTCTGCTTGATTTTCTGAAATTGTAAGATTTTTAAGAAATGTTCATTTGATTTGATTTACCCCCTCTTGCCATGTTAACAAACTTCCTTGAGTTTGTCTGCTTGATTCTCTGAAATTATAAGATTTTGAAGAAATGTTCATTTGATTTGATTTCCCCCCTCTTGCCATGTTAACAAACTTCCTTGAGTTTGTCTGCTTGATTTTCTGAAATTGTAAGATTTTTAAGAAATGTTCATTTAATTTGATTTGATTTGACATTACTGAATTTCACACATGAATGAAATCCAATACTTTAGCATGTGGTACTCTCAAGAATATAAATAAAGTTTGTTTGTTCTTGGCTGGTAACAATATGTGCCACTTTAAGCGACCAATGATGTCTTTAAAAAACCAACCTGTCCTGTTGAGGATCCAGCATTACTGGACCCTGCATAATTCGATGATTTCAAACTCTTTCCTGACGTCCACTGTACGGGATATTGTGAGGTAGGAGACTGTTGGTACTGGTTACTAGGCGCTTGTTGTGATGCATACATGTGGAGCCTCTGAGAGGGCTGCGTGTAGGACTGGAGTGCTGTGTTGAGGCCCTGGTTAGAGTAGGTGGAGGTCTGGAGTAACTGTGAATTGTCATGAATGTTCAACTGTGAGGTCTTCAAGGGAAGGTCAACATCCTGAAAAAATGAGTACATTTGTTGAAATATATTGTGGAATCTAACTTTTATGCTTCAAATACAAAAATATTTTGATTATAGTATAAGAAATTTAGGACTTAAGTTTCATGCTGATTACGGTTTCATAATAAAAGTTTGAGATCAGTACTGCCACATGTGACATAAGGCCTAAAACCAAAGGTATAATACTAAATGTTCACACACACTAGTTCTCTTAAAAAATGAGAAGCTTAACTTCCATATTGATTTTATATAGTACATGATGGGATATTCATTGTCTTTTTGCATGAAAAATTTACTTCCTAATTATTTTATGTTCTTCTGTCTTTAGTTTTCTCTCTAGCCTAATCAATATGAAAAGGACAAGCATCAGAGGAAGATAATTAACTAATCCAAGCCAATAATAAATTCAGAGACATCTAACAATATAAATCCCCAACAAGTATAAGTAGAACAAGAAGCAGATAATCAAAACACGTGCAATTAAGTTTAACCATGTAAAAGCTGAAATGACAAGCATCATAAAATAACTTTTTTGTTCATATAGCAGTGTATATTATGAATATTTAATGTTAAAGTTGTTAAAAGTGTCGGGTGTCATATGCAAAATCTCAGAAATTGCAGACATAATTACCCACCAAAAATGTTTATTAGAGTGCAAATCAAAGATAGAATTACAACAAAGTTATACAATACAATGCAATAGACTATACAATGCTGCATCATGTGAAGATGTTTTACAAACCTCATTGCCGTCAATGCGAGCATTCATTGACCCTACAGTCTGTTCACGTCTCAATAATGGACCAGTATCTGGCCTTGACTGGTTTGAACCAGGTTCATTACCAGCAGCCTCACTGACCAAGGTCATCTCACGTGCTCTCAAACCACTCTGACTTTGCACATTTTGGATATCAGAATGAGGCTTCGGGGAGAGCTTCTCCAGCTCCTTATAAGGAGTGTATTTCTCAGTTTGCCTTTCGGAGTTCCTTCCTGCGGCTTGTTGTACAATACCAATCTTGTTAATTCTGTTTATTTCTCTCTCTGCAATGTTGATGTCTTTAGACTCAACAGCCTGGGCAATTAAATGTCTCTCTGCATTGATATGTGAGTTCTGTTCCTCAATATAGTTGTAATATTTGTTGGCAAGTTTACGACGAAAAGGCCTCTCATGACCAAATACGGTCAATGTCTCTATATAAGTGCTGGACTTTTTAGCATGAAGGTTTATGTGCTGCAATGTTAGACAAACAACGAACAATTAGACAGAAACAACACTCTATGTGGCTGGACTCTGACCAGGCCCGTAGTCAGGGGGAGGGTTGCAGGGTTCGGGCCCCCCCCTGGCCAAAAATTCTTTCAAAATCATGCAGTTTTTGACTATTTTGAGCACTTCTTAAGTGATTTTAGCCTAATTTTGGCCAAAATTGTCAAATGTGAACCCCCCCTGGAAATTTTTGAAAATTGAACCCCCCCTGGCAAATCCTGGCTACGGGCCTGCTGACAGTATCACAAACAACACCAGACTTTCGAATAAGATTTTGATGAAAGGAGGAATGAATTAAGAGATTGGCCTATCAAATAAAACTGCACATTCTGTGTACTTAATGTGATACTGAGTCCTATAATGCCACTGGAATATAGTGTTAGACAAAACACATAATATCAAAAGGGTGTGTTACACAATACAGTACATAAATACAATAATAAAAACAAATTACCGGTATGATAATTATAACTGTTAGCTAAAACGTTATTTTCAGGAGACAGAATGGTTTTGTTATGAAGTGGATTAAAATCTGAAGTACTGGTGCATTAAACACAATGTTGAAATAATAAAAATTCTAAATAATAGATATAAAAGGAACACTGTCTGGACAATTGCATGTAATTCATAAATTAACCCTTTAGCACCTAGTATCATGCGATTTTTTGTTTTCTTGAAATTTGATGATCGATGTCAGTTTGTGTTTGTTGCATATTCACAGGAAGAATCAATTAACGTCTTGAATCCCAGGAACCAGATAATTTTTCATTTTTGCCAGCTTTTGACATTTTACTACATACAAACAGACGATGTTCAATTCAGTAAAATTAGACAGTAGATATCATTTCTAGACATTTTAAAACAATTTTTGTGCAAATTGGATAAAAATTGTTCAAATAAGAGCAATTTTGGTGAAATATTTTGTGACGGATTATCTTGTCACTCTGGGTTTCAAGGTCATATCTGAGGTGACGAGATTACTCTGGGTAGTCAAGAGATTAATAGAACAAAACAAGCTTTATCACACACATGGTTGAAGTTACTTAGGCCATTGAGGGTTAACTTATCAAAAAGCAAAGTGCATAGTTTGGATCAAAAATCCAATTTCACAAATTGTCAAATCAAAAGTGCACAGTGTTGATATTATCCACAAATGTGGGGTTGATTTTTCATATCACCACCACAACTACTTGTGTATTGAAATCTTGCAGTTGAAAAACATTGTCAAAAGTTGACACAAAGATGAATTAATTTTAATATTAATCTTAATAATCACTATTCAAGCCTATTTTCAACTTCAAGATTTCAATAAACAGGTCTTTGTGGGGAAAATTTGAATGGTCAACACCACATTTGCGGGGGTAAGTGTATAAAGACAACAGATGTCAATTTTTCCCCCATGTCACGTTTCACTGAAAATACAAGAACACAAATGTGTACAAAATGTCCCCACCAAGTGGTGATCCCGTGAAATGGTTATCCTGAAAATGAGTAGACAAGACTTTACCAACACAATTTGAGGACGGAAAATCCAAAGTGGCCACCTTAAAATTTACCCAGAATGCCAAAAATTTAGTCAGTTCTAGATTTTCATACTAAGAACCACCCCTGAAAATTTGAAATTGATCCGTCACACAGTTAACCAGAAAACATGTAAACAAGACTTTACAGACAAGATTTCAGGATGGAAAATCCAAATGGCTGCCTTGACATTTACCCAGAATGTCAAAAAACTAATCTGTTTGTAGATTTTCATACTAAGAATCATCCCTGAAAATATGAAATTGATCTACCAAACGGTTCACCTGAAAACGGGTAGACAAGACTTTACAGACAAGATTTTAGGACAGAAAATCCAAAATGGCTGCCTTAACATTTACGCAGAATGCAAAAAAAGTAATCAGATGTAGATTTTCATACAAAGAATCATCCCTGAAAATTTGAAATTGATCTATCAAACCGTTCTCCTAAAAACGCGTAGACAAGACTTTACAGGCAAGATTTTAAGACGGAAAATCCAAAATGGCTGCCTTGACATTTACCCAGAATGCAAAAAAACTAATCAGTTCTAGATTTTCATACTAAGAATCATTCCTGAAAATTTGAAATTGATCTACAAAACGGTTCACCTGAAAACGAGTAGACAAGACTTTACAGACAAGATTTTAGGACGGAAAATCCAAAATGGCTGCCTTGACATTTACCCAGAATGCCAAAAAACTAATGAGATCTAAATTTTTATACTAAGAATCATCCCTGAAAATTTGAAATTGATCCACCAAACGGTTCACCTGAAAACGCGCAGACAAGACTTCACAGACAAGATTTTAGGACCGAAAAATCCAAAATGGCCGACAATAAAAAAGTCCTTATGAGTTTTTGCTGATTTCTTTTTACAAAATTATCACATATAACTACTGTTAACAATAAAGTAGGCTTTTACAGCAAAGTACATCTGAAATTATTTATAAAGCTACTAAAAAGTTAAAGTATGAAAACTCAAAAACACCATTCAATATGATACAAAGTATTATCGCGCGCTAACTTTTCTTAAGACATTCAAAATGGCTGACATGACTGAGCTAGCAGGTCCAAAACCTAATCAGATCTAGAATGAAGTGAGTTGAACAAGATGTTAAAGTTTTAAAAGCAACTGTGAAGCAGTTTTTCTTAAAGTTTGCAGACAAGGATTTTAGCATTTGACTTCAAAATGGCCGACAGGAAGTAGGTATCGAGTTAATTTTTTTTCATCCACATCTGTATGCACTCATAAGTTATCCCTGAAAATTTGAAGGTGATATCTGTAGCGGTTTTGGAGAAAACTGCCGGACGTACGGACAGACAGACGGACAGACGGACAGACAGACGGACGCGCCTAGGCCGACAATATGGCCCCACACTATGTGGTGGGGACATAAAAAACCAATTACAAGCTGAATATGTCTATTGCAACTCACCTGTCTATTGTTTGCAACCCCCATGGTGCCAGGAGTGCAGTGTAGTAACCTATATACATGCTCCACTATTCCCAGTCCGCGTACAAGATTGTCGCGTTGTAGCAAGGCACTGATTCTCTCTAGCTCATCCTCTTCTGCGATGTCAACTGGCTTCTGCGTATTAACTGGCTCCAGGTTTGCCAGATCATGTGGATGTCCCCATGGGTTACCCTAAAATAATATTTACTCAATGTAATATTCGAAGTTTTGAATGTTACTATCTGTAGTAAAGATACACATGTACCTGTACATGATATTTCCTTAATCACCAATTTCTTCAAAAAGCATTTTTTATGATCAGCATGGGTTGTGTATGATTTTATATATCAAATTTAAATAAAAAAAAATATTCATACAAAATTGCATTTCATTCGAAAACAATATTTCTTGAAATTCAGTCAATATTACAAAATTGCTCTTGCTAGACAGGTGACATTTTTAAGTACTTAAGTACACATACTTTCATAATAATTATGGAGGTACAGGCCTGTAGCCAGGGGGGGGGGGGGTTTGATGGGTTCGAGCACTTTTTGGCCATTTTTGGACCAAAAGTGTCAAAAGTGAATCCCCCTGGAATTTTCCAAAAAGTGAACCCCCTCTTGGCAAATTCTGGCTACGGGCCTGAGGTACTTATATAATTTTTTAAATAATATTTTGCTTCATAGTTGAACGTAAATGAAATGAACAAGCCCTAATGTGGATGCAAAAAAGTTGAGAGAGAATGTCCAAGCACTATAATGTAGGTGCAATTTAGGCTAAGGGAGAAATGAACAATAGTCTACAGTGTAGGTGCATGTAAGCTAATGGAAAATGTTCAAGCACTACAATGTGAGTGCAAGAAAGCGAAAGGAGAATGTTCATGCACTACAATGTGAGTGCAAGAAAGCTAAGGGAGAATGTTCATGCACTACAATGTGAGTGCAAGAAAGCTAAGGGAGAATGTTCATGCACTACAATGTGAGTGCAAGAAAGGTAAGGGAGAATGTTCATGCACTACAATGTGAGTGCAAGAAGGCTAAGGGAGAATGTTCATGCACTACAATGTGAGTGCAAGAAAGCTAAGGGAGAATGTTCATGCACTACAATGTGAGTGCAAGAAAGCTAAGGGAAAATTTTCATGCACTACAATGTGAGTGCAAGAAAGCTAAGGGAGAATGTTCATGCACTACAATGTGAGCGCAAGACAGCTAAGGGAGAATGTTCATGCACTACAATGTGAGTGCAAGAAAGCTAAGGGAAAATTTTCATGCACTACAATGTGAGTGCAAGAAAGCTAAGGGAGAATGTTCATGCACTACAATGTGAGTGCAAGAATGCTAAGGGAGAATGTTTATGCAATACAATATAGGTGCAATTAGGCTAAATAGGAGAAATGAACAGTCTGCAGTGTATGTGCAAGTAAGCTAATCAGAAATGCACAAGCTCTACAATATGGTTGCAAATAAGTTGAGAAAAATGTCCAAGGGCTACAATGTAGGTGCAATTAAGCTAATGATCATATGTACATGCACAGCTAAGGAAGAAATGTACAAGTACCACAATGTGGCTCCACTGTACAGTTGTGCCAAAAGCTTGGTGGCGAACTTCTGGTGAAATGATACGAGATGTGTGTCGCATGGTGGATAAAAACATTGGGGGAAGGTGCCATAAGCCTTCTGACTCTAGGAATGTCTGCTACAAACAAAACACAGTCTTAATTGTTAGATGTGCAAATGAAGTGACCACCTGTCCTGCTACAGTGCTCTCAGGCTATTTTCTGTTGGTTTTGTTATATACAGTATATCACTGTTATGCTTCATAAAAGTTTATTTTGATATTTTTCTTCTATTGCCTTCTATTGTTTTTTCCAAACATTTCTCACGTAATTCAGGTATAAATCATTTTTCAGTATACAAACATTTCTCACGTAATTCAGGTATAAATCATTTTTCAGTATACACTGTACAATCATTTCTCACGCAATTCAGGTATAAATCATTCTTCAGTATACAATCATTTCTCACGCAATTCAGGTATAAATCATTCTTCAGTATACAATCATTTCTCACGCAATTCAGGTATAAATCATTATTCAGTATACAATAGAAGCAAAACTAGTTTATGAACTGAGAGACTTGTAGCAAGCGGTAATGTTAGTAATTTTCTGAAATTATGGATTAGCAAATACTCAGGGGCCGATTTTTGAAACAGTTAACCAAAAACAGACCCCTGATCTGATTAATACATGTACGTGTATGACAAGAAATATGATAAAAAAATATGTAATGTGAATGATATATATATATATTGTCTAATTTAAGTGATAATAATTGTAAATGGGTTTAATTGCTTATTGTTTTACCTGTCATACAATTACATGTACAATCTAAGCTACAGCAAATGTAAATTATACATGTAATAAAAGCAGCAGTTCAATCATATGTATTATGTTATGTTTAGTGAATCAATTATTGTGAACAAAGTGTATAGAAAACAATAATGACTCAAGCAATATTCAAGGTAATATCTCATTATAAAATAATTCTAAAATCACACAAGGCAATTAGAATTACTATGCTACATGTGTGTTAAAAAGAAATATGCGATTTAAAATCTGAGTTAAGGTTTTAAAAAGCAATTACAACGCTACCTCAAACCCATAGTTGCAAACTATGGTTAATGAGACAATTAATGTCAATGGGAATTTCACTGTGTTTTATAGATAGGTGTGTGGTAGCGAGCTAATTAGTGTACTAAATCTAATGACACACAAGATCTAAATGGCTACAGAATTGTTTTGTGTTCCATTCAAAGTCTATGAATAACTATTACAAAAAGTGCTGACCTCTGATGCTTTCATAGTAGGTTTTTTAGATGGAGAAGTTTTTTTGACGCGATTACGACGCCTGGTTCCAGGACTCTCAGGCCTGACATCTTTCTTCTTCTTCAACATTGATTCCAGCTTCTCTTTCTTACGTAGAATCTCCTCACGTTGTTGCCTAGCAACAGAGAAACAACAAAGATATCAATAAAAATAAGTAATGATTTTACATATAATTCAAATGTAGACATGATGCCAACTAAATAAAATCTATCCTGTAATTCTGATAATTGGATTGACATGAAGATGAGTTCATGAATTGCTTACTTGCCAAACAATCTTTCTTTTTAAATATCTTTTTTTCATAAAATAGAAAATGTGTAGCTAATTATGGAATGACTTGTATGTACATGACATCTGCATATATTGCTGATTCAACATAATAAGAGGCCCTACCTTGCGGCTTCAGAGCGAGCCTTATAAGCTGCAGTCTCCTGATAGAGGGAGCCACTATGGCTGAAATATTTATCATACTTCTCATAGCCCTCACTGGGATAAGCTCGCCTGTAATTGCCCATGTGTTTGTCCTCGTACTTTGTCTGGGCCTCCCAGAACTGCTTCTGTATCTGATCAAGGTCCTCTCTGGAAATGACGAGAAAAAATAATAAATGGTTAACTATAGATCAGCTATACATGATGCTGAAAGGTGCGTTACCTAAGTTTTTGCTTACAGCATCTTTTATTAAATATTATGCTACATGTGATAGGTGGTCACAAGTTGAAAAGTCTTTGCTTCGATAAAAAGATGTCACTCATCAAAAGTAACATATTCCCACTCAAAATGGCCTTTCAAAAAATTAGTTACCCATCAAAAGGGGATCATGATCCCTGGTGGATATCATAATATAAACCTTAGGACTCTAATAAAGCACTATATTTATTACATTTTCTTTATTGAGATAAGCCTTCATGTCATTGCAAACATAAAGACAAGACATTAACATGACAAAATGTCACCACCTAAAGGTCAATTTGAAGCAAGTTGAAAACAGACCTTTTTGACCTTTTTTGACCTTGAGAAGGTCATTAAAGGTGAAATGTCAAATCTAGAGTCAGATTTGAATTTCTGAGAACATGTAGATGATTTTGAAAAAAAAAATTAGTCAATTTGAAGCAAGTTGAAAAAAGACCTTTTTGACCTTGAGAAGGTCATTGAAGGTAAAATGTCAAATCTAAAGTCATATTTGAATTTCTGAGAACATGTAGATGATTTTGAAAAAAAATTTAGTCAATTTGAAGCAAGATGAAAAAATACCTTTTTGACCTTTTTTGACATTGAGAAGGTCATTGAAGGTCAAATGTCAAATCTAAAGTCAGATTTGAATTTCTGAGAACATGTAGATGATTTTGAAAAAAAAATTTAGTCAATTTGAAGCAAGTTGAAAAAAGACCTTTTTGACCTTTTTTGACTTTGAGAAGGTCATTGAAGGTCAAATGTCAAATCTTAAGTCAAATCTAAAGTCAGATTTGAATTTCTGAGAACACGTAGATGATTTTGAAAAAAAAATTTAGTCAATTTGAAGCAAGTTGAAAACAGACCTTTTTGACCTTTTTTGACCTTGAGAAGGTCATTGAAGGTCAAATGTCAAATCTTAAGTCAAATCTTAAGTCAGATTTGAATTTCTGAGAACACGTAGATGATTTTGAAAAAAAAATTTAGTCAATTTGAAGCAAGTTGAAAACAGACCTTTTTGACCTTTTTTGACCTTGAGAAGGTCATTGAAGGTCAAATGTCAAATCTAAAGTCAGATTTGAAGGTCAAATGTCAAATCTAAAGTCAAATCTAAAGTCAGATTTGAATTTCTGAGAACATGTAGATGATTTTGAAAAAAATTTAGTCAATGTGAAGCAAGTTGAAAAAAGACCTTTTTGACCTTGAGAAGGTCATTGAAGGTCAAATGTCAAATCTAAAGTCAGATTTGAACTTCTGAGAACATGTAGATGATTTAGAAAAAAATTGAAGTCAGTCTAAACAGTATTTGTAAAGTTATAGGAAGTTGTAAGAAATTGTTACAGACGCCGGACGCCGGACGCCAACCTCCAACCACCAACCACCAACCGCCGTCACAAAAAAAACGGAGACCATAACAATAAGTCACCACTTTTGGTGGTGACATAATGATGTATGTTTCATTCATTTACATGCATGGCACCCAACTTACTTTGTTTCTTTTTTGTGATTTTTCTGAAATAGCCTCTCTTTGATTTTTCGCCTTTCTTCTTCAATACACCTGCGTTTGTCTATTGCACCAAAGTTTGCAAGGTTCATGGTATCATATAACATGGCCTCTTTGATTTCTTTATCTAGTTTGGAGTCTGTGTGGAAGCTTGGGGAATGGTTCACCTGAAACATGAACAATTTCTGCATTTCACAATTTGCAATTACATACAAATTAATTCAATTATAGGCTGTTGCAATGACATAATTGATGTACACAGATAAAAGGAGGAAAATTAAAAAATGTAGTTCTATGAATTCAATATTATAATCCTTTATGAGTGACTTTAACCTCTTGAATACCCAGAGTGACGGATATATCCGTCACAAATGAAATAAGACTGGTGCCCAGAGGGACGAGAAAATCCGTCACAAAATTTTTCACAAAAATTGCTCTCATTTGAACAATTTTCATCCAATTTACACAAAAATTGTTTTAAAACGTGAAGAAATGATCTCTGCCGTCCACTTTTACTAAGCTGAGCATCTAAAGTTGTATAGGTATGTAATAAAATGTCAAAAGGTGGCAAAAAATGAAAAATTCTCTGGTTTCATGCCAATTTTAGAGCCTGGGATTCAAGAGGTTAAGGAGACGCCAAAAAATTGAACATTATGTAGCTTATAGCATTTTATTCCCTCCAGTGTTGATGTAGAGAAGCTTATGGACTTCTAAACAGAAGACATACTATACACAGGATATGTATTTGACTGTAATTTTTGAATCACCTGTAAACTCACTACACTAGAGATGTCAAACAATCAATTTGAAAAAACATTTTGTCCTATCAATAACCTACCTCTATAAGATATGGCTTCAACTTCTTGTCAAACATAATGTCAAAACCTAGAATCTCAAAACACGCACTTCCTTTCACATGGTTAGGGAAACACGTCCTGTAGTTGTGCTTGAGCACAGGGTGAGCAGAAATCAGTGTCTTTATTATGACATCGTCAATATCATTCCAAATCTTGTCCACGTCATATCCCTTATCCTTGAACCACTTGTTGACAGTGGAGATTCGCCTTAAACACAATTATGAAATTGTTAGTTGAAAATATGTTTCTGACGCTTGCTTTATTTCTAAGCAGGTCCAAAATTTATCAGTTGATCTCCAAACTTTAAATCAATCCAAGCTGTTTCATGAATTTATAAAATTAAGAAAAAAATCAATTATTAATTTTTTATTTGTTCAATAAAGTGATTCAGTCAAAAATTATATATCAAATGACAGCTCCCCATAAAAGGAGTTACCCCTACCATGAGAAAGCATAAGAGATACTAACCTTTTGCTTCCAGCCTCATCATCTCGAACAAAGTCAGTGCTGTGTTTGTTTATAGCATAGTTGGTCAGGTGCATGTACACATTATCCTTGAAAACAGAAAACAGATGTAAACATTATCCCATAACTGTAAAACATACAAGGACACATTATCATAAACACAATACACACAATTACACAATATGAAATTACATAACATTCAGTAAATACACAAGACAGTACATGGTACATTACCAGAAACACATTACACAAAATTACAAATGACATTATCCTGTATTCGAACATGATTGTATTCACGCCTTCTATAAACTGTGAACAAAGTCAGTGCTTCAGCTGGGTTATATTCGAGATCAATGCCCCAGCTCTGTACTAGTGTTTCGTTCAGTGCACTCAATGGTCAGTTCAGGCGGTTCCGTTCTTTTCGCAAAATTTAATTTTCATATGGATGTCCGCAGTGATTTTTTTGTTTTCTCGGCAATATAGAATTAATTTCAATAATTATCAATGAAGTAGATATGCGTGAAACCAATAAAATAGGCCGAAATGTCAATAAAAAAGTTGGGGTCAGGAGGTAAGTAAACAAATTGGAACAGCCAAACGCTCAACCGGAAGTAGAAATGAAAAAAGTGGAAATTAGCATCGAAATTGACGATTTTGCAATATTCTGGTGAGTTTTCATGTTTGAATCGTAATTTAGACCTCAGAGCAGGGCTACTAGTTTTGAATACACCCCTTAGGTCTAGGCACAAAAGCTTTCGAACCCCTCACTCCCTTCAGTCGTTCGGGATACAGAAAACGTTTGTGCCAAGACCTGCGGGGTGTATTCGAAACTAGTAGCCCTGCTTTTCAGTCTATATTTCTTAATTCATGTAAACACAAATCATTCTGTAAACACATGCAAAGACTAATGCAAAAGCTACACCTTTACAAGTTCTTTATGTGATTTTTTGTCTTCAAATGTTGGCCTAAATGCTTACAATCTAATAAATCTATATGTATAAGGCAAATCAATGAAGATGAAATGGAAATGAAAATATTCACAGAAGAAAAATACAAGAGATATTTTTTCACAGGAGATGAGATATGCTAGAATCAATGGCAATGTTCCATAGATAAAAGTATCATCTCATTCACAAATATCCAAAGAAAATTTTACAGTTAAATTCGATTGCATTAATCTGTAATGAAGGCTACACCATTAACAATGTAATTATAGTAAAATTAATTGATTTTGCCCCTGATTATATTGACAATTTGACAGGTAGCTGCCCTGGACATGATTATTAGATTGCTTTAAGACACAATCAGATTAAGCTAGCAACCATTCCAAAAAATTCAATTTTAGAATGTTAAGTGATCATATTCCTTGTTATTAATATTTTCTAAAAAATTCCCAAATGCTGACATCAAACACAGACACGCAGTCATAAAAAATGGAGGCTGTAACAATATACATGAACCACTTCTGGGTGGTGACATAATAATTGATTTGATGAACCTTACTAATGGGTCATCTATTCAGGGCAAAAATTGATTCAATAATAGCTTTTATTTTGTTTTGTACAGCATTAATTAAGGGTTGTATTGTGCTAGACATTTATGGATATTTCGTGATAATATTCCCAGCGTCTCAAATAAAATGCTGTGTAGCAGGATACAAAGTTGACCATTCCAGTGTACAGATTTACTATTGTTATGGGACTTATAAAACATTGATACATAGAGAATATCGTTAATAATTCAAATAAAAATAAAAACAATATTTTTTCAATAACAACATATTATATCTAGGCACAAACATCAATAATGAATAGTGATAATGAAGGTGACTTTTCACCAGGAATTTTACATGGCCTTGACAAAGCCACATACAAGATTGGTGAAAAATGTTGAAATTGTTTATTCTAATAGTAAGCTGACACATTCAAAATAAGCTGTATAAAACACACATACAAACTCTATGCCATTAGTAATATACCCAGATGTGTACCTCTTTATAACATACTCTCTATACGTGTATCTTTGGTATGCAAAGAAGGGAGGAGGTATTTTTGGCATCTGGTACTTGTACATGGTACTACATGTAATATATTCAAGAAAGAAATGTTTAGGATTTAATATCTACTTACTGTATTGTGACTAGTCGGATCTGAGTATTTCACTGTTGCAAATCTTGCCAGGCCATCTTTAAATACAAATATCCTGAGAGGGTCACATGATGTTACCAGGGCATACACACGCAGATCAAACTTGAACTGGTCAATTAGAAATGGCTGAAAAATAAAATATTCAAGTAAAATTCCAGTTTATACAGCATTATCAACGTTAGAATGTTTGATCTGGGATACTCTGCAGAAGTGACATTTTAGCAGGATGTCTTCATAACAAGAACATGCAAGGAAAAAATTTCAATCAATATTGTATCACAAAAACACAAACATTCAGACACTTTTACATTGTTAAAATTGTTACAGTATACTCTAGAGCCAGAATATGTCATGCCAAGATTCCTGAACAGAAGCCATTATTTTATGAACAATCAAGTGCTATGAATAATTGACAAAACACACAGATTTACAACAACTACATTTACACCCTACATATCCTTTAATGAAAAATGTCAGGCAAGCAGCCTTTATGCTTTATAAAAAACAATAACTTGGAGGCTAAATTGTTTCCAATAGCACAATCACCTTGGATTGTGCTGTGTAATTTCACTGAATTCAATACAGTCATCAAATAATCATAATATCCTTTGTTATGACACGCACATTCTTTGGATTACAACAGGTAAAGATAAGGCAGGGACTTCACCATGTCGTTGAATGAGAACATGGACTTGAGATTTTCTGAATCATGGTATTAGATTAGAATTACGTTTTTTTTATCTACGAGAGAAACTACATGCTAATTGAGATTTATATGTTATGTTATTCACTTTTCTGCAAGCGTATCTATTATACATGGAATGAGAATTTCAGTATGTTGTTACCTTTGAGAGGTATTGTTGACAGAGCATATGCTCGTGTGGTTTTATATCTTTAGGGTTCTTTGTCACCCAGATCCCCTTCCCCTGACAGCCACTCTCAGGTTTCAGAATGTATGTTTTGTGTTTCTTGGCTCTTGTGTACGCAAGGAAATCACCATAACTGGAATAAAAGCCAAGAAGTGAATTTACATATTATACTGGTCAATCACTAAGAAAATACATACAAGATTTGAGAAATAAATAAAACTCTTCTCGACATGATAAACTAAATTAATATCAATAATTTTTCTATATTTCATTTGTTTCATGTTGCCATGTGCGTCACAAGTATTTTTGACATACTGAAATACAAAAAAGTTGTCATGTTATTTTCCATATAACATATGAATCAACTGACAAAGATTGCAACTATCTCAGGCCCGTAGCCAGGGGGGGTTCGCAGGGTTCAGGCGAACCCCCCCTGGCCAAAAATTCTTTCAAAATCAATTAGTTTTTCACCATTTTGAGCACTTTTCAAGTGATTTTAGTCATATTTGGGCCAAAATTGTCAAATGTGAACCCCCCCTGGAAATTTTTGAAAACTGAACCCCCCCTTGGCAAATCCTGGCTACGGGCCTGTATCTTAAACCTGTTCATGTGTCATGTTTAGATCTGTTAAGAGCTTAGAGCTAAATAAAACTTATTTGTTGGTGTCAAAACTGCAAAACAAGGATATGTACTTACTCTGAAGGAAGGATCCATGATTTTGGGAAGACATTGTATTCTTTAGGGAATAATTTTATCATTCTATTCATGTTCCTGGCCAGCAGGTCCTTCCTACAGATTTCACTCATTCCGGGGAAATGATTGATTTTCTGAAAAAAAAATCATAGATAATGAATACCCTGTAAAATGAATGTTTGGCTTATCATTAATAATTAAACAAATATTATAAAATAGAATAGATGGTAAATGACAATAATTCTTGTTATACATAAAATCCTATTTCTAAATTTTGAATATCATACATAGACTAGTTGCGGGTCAAAAAAGAAAATAATCAAACATTTCAAGGATCTAGGAATACTTTTTTGAGACTTCAGTAATAATTTACATTTTATTCATTTTAATAAAATACATATGAAAACTACAGCATTCAAGTATAAAGAACTGACCTGGTATTTCTTCATGTCCATGACACGCTCCAATGCCACAGAGTAGTCCGTCCAGTAGAGGTGCCAGTCCTCATCTTCATTGACCTCTTTGAACCCAAACCTCTTAGACACTCTGCGAACTAGAAATATAGAATATGTTCATGGTGTATTAATGTGAAAGACTAAAGGAATTTTAATTAACTCTGAGAATATTAATTCAATGATTTTCAAATATTGTGAATTTTCTTTTGTTTTCAGAGATGTTTGTGTATAAATACAGCAGATTGACTTCTGTTGGTCAGCACAAACTGACAAAATAAATTCCTGCTTCCAGAAAATATGGGCTCAAAGTTAACCTTGAACATTATATTATGTAGAATAACATACAACATACAGTACTCAGTACTGGAATTATTGTTTTCATGAACAATTCTATCTAAAATGAAACAATCCTTTCTGAATTCAACAAATACTTGATTCAGAATATTTAAAATTAAATGTAATCAATTCATTACAGTAACTAATATCCCAGATGCGAGTAGAAATAATTTTAATTTATGTCATTAAAAATTCACAATTCAGTCAAACTGATGTCATATTTGGAATCTACATGTAAAATTACATTTAGAAATGTGGTTTTGAAAAGAGTTTATCAACTTTGAAAATTTAATTTTCTTTGAAAATGTGACTTCTAGGTCGGGGAGATTCCCCATAGAGCCCATGTTGTAAAACCACAAAAAGTGAAATATCTTTTCTTGTGTTGGGCAGATAATATTTTCTTTTACTGGACATATTTTAATTTGTATAACTATCAGATGAATAAAGGTAATATGAAAACTGAACCATTAAAACTGATGCATATTCAAGTTAAAGGGAATTTTGTAATACCCTGCCATGTTAATTTCCCCGAATCAGCCACCTGGTGGCGGAACTGGTAACTACCTACTCGCATCTGAGTAATTGTGTCAAATGATACATTTGTATATGCAATTGATCATGTAACTTGGAAGTATGTTTAAAGATTAATCCATCCACTGCAGAAGATGAGATCAATTGACTATGTCTACAAGACAATGGTGTAAAACACAATGAAGGTCACATTTCACACGTAATAAAGATAAACAGAGAAAATGTATTGATGTCAATATCCCCACTGGCGCTGAGAGAGAATGGCAACTTATGATCCATAACAGATAACTTGTCAAGTATGATCAAACTACTTCATATTCATGATAAACACAAACTGTTAAACAAGTTATTAATCAATATAAATACTGATATTATTCCTGTAATAGGATAGCTTTCATCAAACAACACTAACTTTGTTGTTATAGAAACAAGTAAATACAATGTTTATATCTGGATTAGTTTATGTAAGAACAAAAGACTTGGCTGGAAATAAAATACAATGTAACTCGAAGCGGTATTGCCTGATAGCGAGAATAGAACTGAAAATAACACGCTGATCAAATTGAGAACAGAGCTGAGAATTACAAGCTGACAACAAATTGATCTCGCTTGAAGGACTATCTATTGAACTACGTATAAAAGAGACAGAAAAGAGCACTTATGCAATGCTAACATTCCCATTGTGTTTAATCGAAGGTGTGACTGAAGCATCCTATTATAGCACCAAGAAAGAGAAACTAAGTTGATATTGATGAGCACAAAATTGAGAATTGGCAAATTGGAATATTTCAGTCTATTAAGAGTCCATTTTTACATTTCCTATAGTCAGCAATGATAGAATGAATTACAAAATTATCAAAATGGACCATTTGAACATTTTAGGTAGCCAATAGCTTTAGTCATGACAAATAATTTTTCTGAGGCCAGATATTGTTAAACCATTGACACTAAGGAAAAATCCAGTCTCTCTTCTAGATCACTATGACACATAAAAAATTGACACAACAAAATTGCATGTTTGAACATTTTAGGCAGCCAATAGCTTTAGTCATGACAAATAATTTTTCTGAGGCCAGATCTTAAAGGTGTCCATATTGTTAAACCATTGACACTAAGGAAAAATCCAGTCTCTCTTCTAGATCACAATGACACATACAAAATTGACGCAACAAAATTGCATGTTCTTTTGTGGAATTTTGCAACTGTTTCTGTTGTTAACATTATTAATGGGCATTGCCCATGGAAAGGGATTTCTCCAATCATTGTTTTGATAGAACTTCTCACAAAACCATTAAGATAATGAATATTTAATATTTTTAAATCTACAAGTACATTTCCAACATACCTGACTCATACTTGCAGCTCACTGTACAGATGAACCATCTGAAAAAACAAATCACATAAAATATTGCACAAATAACTGGAAATATTTCTATTTATATTGATTACTGAAAACTAGTCCAAACTAATGGAGATACTAATAATAGGGATATTAATGTAATATAAATTCATTTGAATGTGTTATTCAGAAGATTACTGGTCAGTCTCAGAATGTTGAATGCTACATTTCTTTTTATATTTCTTTCTAAATATTATTCCTTTTCAGTTGCTATCCTTAATGTTCTCTGTGAGGCAATATAAATTCAAGCCCGTAGACTGTGAACCCCCCCTGGCTATGGGCCTGAAAGTAGTGATACCACTACTCTGATACAAGTTGCATGACTCGTTAATTACCATTTTTACAGTAGGGAGTCTAATTTTACCACTCTTCCAAAAGCAGCACCAGGCATTTTCTATCATTCAGTTTAAGATAATGAAGATGCACAGAATAAATCATGGAATACTCTAAGCATCGTAAAATGATCTCTGACTCTATCAGACACATTTATGCATATTTCAATATGTTATTTTTCAAATACTTAAAAAAGAACAATTTAAACCTGTTAAAGTGAAAATTATTCAAGTATCACCGTTATTCAGACTTTTGTAAAACACATGTATCATGTTGCCCTTTACAGTATTTATAGTTCATAAGTACATAACAACAGCTATTGTTAGTCTTAATGCATTTACTTTCTTACAAACTGGCTGAATGCCTGTTTCAATATTTGGCTAAACCAATACCCGCAATTCTCGTAATCTCATTGCAACATTAACTTCTCTTTGAAAGTCATACACCTTTATTTCTCATTGAGCTTTATTCAACATTGTTCAATACAATCCAACGGTTCGATCCGGCACTTTTATTTATTACAAAAGGTGCTAAAATATCAAAAAACTATCTTGACAATTGAAGTATTTATTGGTCATTTAAATTTGTACCCTTCAACAATAAATAACCATACAAAACATGACATTATGGTCACTATGGTGATCATTTACAAGGTTAGAGAGTTGATTGATTCCAAGGTGACTGACTTGAAAGGCTCAACAAACTTTGTTTTTTATCCGTTCTTCAGGTTACATTATTTATGTACCAATAGTGATCTTTGACCCCAGGTTGATTCAAATGTATAAAACTTGACACATTTGGTAATTTGATTTATTCTTCACAACATATTATGCTTTCAGAATTTGAGAAGTTTTACCCTGTTCCCACATTAACAAGCTAAACTACCCTCCGAATAACATATAAGATCTACAGTTTTGATGCAGATACGATCCTCATGATCTAAAAAGTGTTTTTGTTAAATATGCCTTTTATGGTAATTTGAATATGAAATGCAGGGGTGTGTCCAGCTTTCAGTCATGGGGGGTGCGATCACCCCAAAAATTCGGTTATCAGTCAGGGGGATGCAATTGTGGCCAAAAATGGTTTATTTTGAATTTTACAAATATTGATAGAACTTCCTTCAAATTGAGCTAGAAGCTTCAAATATAAACCATTTTAAAGCTCTTTTCTTCATCTATCATGGTTTTATTTTTATTGGTTATGGGGGGGGGGGGGGCAGTAGTAATATACAGTAAGACCTATATAATCCAAATGCCGCTGTGACTCGTCAAAAGTGTTCAGATTGGCAGGTGTTTTCATTTCAAAGTTTTTGATATGGTGGTAATCGATGGCAGATTTAAAGAAGGAGCACGAAAATGTCTACATTGAGAGGTGTTCAAATCAGATAGGTATTCACATACAAGTTTTACTGTAAAGTTCTTAACTACATATCATATAGGCTAAAATGATCACAAAAATATTAAAGGATTAAATGAAGCTCCTGAAAAAATGAGAGTTCTCTTACTTTTTCTTTTTCTTCTTTTTCTTTTTAGGCTTTTCCTCCTCAATTTTCTTCAGTTCTACATCAGAGGGTGTTGGCTGTTCCGTTCCACTCTCACCCCCTTCTCCCTCCCCTTCATCTTCTTCCCCTGAAATAATTTTAACAACATAAATATTTATATTGGTTTTTCAATTCATGTATGAATAGTTTCAAAGTAGATTAGTCAAACAGAGGACTATATCATCAGAATAGAAAAAAACATGAACATGAAAAATGTCACCACCTGCCATTTGTTACAGACAATAACTGCCTAATGCCGCCACAAGAGTTGTAGACTATAACAATGTCACCAAATCTAGTGGTGACCTAATAAATGTAAATAATATTCCATAGAATAGCACGATTCCTGAGAGTGAAATAAAAGTTTGTATAAATCATTGAAAAAATATCAAATAGTTTATCCAACGCACTTATCGCTAATTAATATATCAATCAATTAGTCCCTCGTAGAGTAAGTACAAGTCAATGAACAAATGTTATTCTTAACATTCAATACAATGAACAAATGTTATTCTTAACATTCAATACAATGAACAATGAATTGTTTGTGATTGCATGCTGCAACAACTAAAAGTCTCATGTTCAATATACCAGACCTGATAATACGTTAGAAATTGCAAGTTTACCATTGATCATAATAGACCATGGAATTAGTAATTAACAAAGTAGTTGCTTGGTTAAATAGATTCAAAGGTCCATGTGAGATATGACAAGTGATTTTAGGTGGTCATACACGTTTCACTAGAATTTCTCACGACAGGCTAAATAAATGAAAACAACGGGCAAAATTATTAGAAACCATAAATTAAACATGGAAAGGTTGAAAAGTCCCCAAAAACTACAGCGCTTTTGGGAAACCAACTGGTCAAAATCACTCGTTGTCTGTTGCTTATGAAATCCCTGGTAATTTCTTTCGCACTTTCTGGCCATAAATGCAGTGGTTTTTATCAAAACAATATCTTTTCTTTCGAGTGAAGGCTTCACGATGATAAAAATATTAATTGAAGAATTCGAAAAATTAAGAATAGGGACACCATGTCAACAATTTTTTCAAAACGTTGAACCTATTTACTGAAAAGAGAATCTTCTTTTTCTGATTTTATTGCATGAAAAGATTATTCATCAACAAGGGTTCTAAAACCTCAAAATTTTCAATGACCAAAATTATGCTGAAAACAATGGAGTTTTCCCTATGGGAAAATAACATGGGATATGTGGTTTTTAACTTAAGCACATTTCAATACCCAATCCCTTTTTGATATGTTTAAAAAAGATCCTCTTTCAGAAGATAAGCCTAAGATTTTTAAAAAGTGCCAATGTGGTGTCCTTACTTAGTCCATAATTTTTCAGAGGTTTGGATTAATATTTTACTATTATGGGGACCTACTTGAAAAAACATATTGTTTTAGTAAAAATCACAGTATTTATAGCCAGAAAGTACTCATGGTAGAAGATATGACCATCTAAAATCACTTGCCATACCTCATATGGTCTCTCCTGACTTATGGTTTATTATTTTACACGAAAGTAGTTCAATCTAAAATCAATGTTTAAAAGGCACTGTGTTAGTGAACATAGAACATAATATAGAACACATCTAACATGCCAAATGTTAGATGTGTTAACATACATACATTTATACATTAAAAGATAAGAACAATGACACCCTTTTTATGAACTATAATATATAAGGGTTATGTACTGGGAGGTTTTGGATACAGGGTTTATCCCAAGGGAAATATGTGTATCTCACGAGGGACCGCAAACCGACCATACATAACTGGTGTATCTCATACTTGAGTGGGTTTGGGGGTAGATATAACCTTTACCACCTTTTTCAAATGACAAGATAGGCCTATACTGTAAAAGCATAATTTATATTTAACATTTTCATAATATTCCTTCAGTTCAATACAATAGAATTGTAACATTTAAACTTTTTGAAAAATTTTAAACTTCTGAAATTTAAATTTAAAAAATTTTTAAACTTTTTTAAACTTTTGAAAAAATTCCCGGGAGTGGGATGGATATATTATATCTGCCCGCATTTGGCCTAGAGCGGGACATATACAATATATCTTGCCCGCTCCTCAGATATGATATATATTCCCAGGTGATATCTACCCCAAACCCACTCAAGTATAAAATACATCTTATGATGTACTCAAGATATGATTTTTATCCACTCATGGATATGATATCAACATTTGCACATCTCCTAAGTTATGCATCTCAAATATCATAATGATTGGGAATCAAAATCACATCACTCATAAACAATAGGATATCCTCCATTTGTAATATAACAAGTCTTGCATTAAATCCCATGCAACCAATTCTTTCTCCAACTTAGGCATTTTCCAAAATAGGCCTTTCTGGCTGGTCTAATATGAAACCTTGGTAACATGTAACTACTAAGTAAAAATATGGATTACTTAAGATGCCCAGAATTTATCTGGTTACTTGCTTACTGGATAAACAATTGTTATGTTAAGTAAATATACATATGTATCACAACACAATATTATACTATTGACGTGACATTGGCACTCTTATTAATTACAAGGGCTGAAGGCAAGGAGGATTGACTCCCAGGATTAAAACTCATTTTCCAACAATGAAAACATCGAAATGTCATTATTTCCTGAAATTATAACCAACTATAAATTCAAAATAAACAGTTCAAAAGATTCAAACCAATATCTCGACCATTTCTTGTAAAATTTTGGAATTTTTCATCAGGGAATAAGATCAAAATTCACGATTCAAATGTTGAAGTGAACAAAATGGTGGCTGTTTGAATTTGAACAACATGCCCATATATGGGAAAGAATATTGATGTTGTACTCTGGGAGCCAATCCACCCTTGGCTGTAGGAGGTTTATTGGATTGTGCTATATCTATGACAACACAACTGCTGAACTATCTGGTGATAATAAATAAGAATTAATACATCTAGGGATTGAATTGAGGTGAAGTATTAACACAGAAAAGGAAAATTAATGAGTTTATTGTTTAACATATAAGTTTTCCAGGTTCCTTGGATTTTTTCTGATTGGGGTCCATATCATGTTGAAAATTGCAATCTGTTTTTATCTGTATAGTACATGTATACATAAGCCCATCATGTATGTAACTTCAAAGGATATTTTTTGCTGGTCAGATTTAGTTCATATTTTCACCTTATACTAAGAAATGGGTGGATGGCTGTCTATGATAATGCCCTGAATATTTTACAATAATACTATATGATATAATGATAATCAGAAATTAACCACTGATCTAAATGATTTAATCTTATTTCATTTAGAACCCCAACTCATTTTAAAACGGGTTCTGGTGAGGAAACAGTTGATCTAAATACCAACTTAAAATAACAATAATGTATTTGCGGAAAAGTTAAAATATACTTGATCGCTTCAAAAGTATTGGATTAAAAATAATCAATGAAACTCTATTATCACGAAGAGCTTTGCTTCATTGGATTTTACTATTTGAATTCCAAAACTGGTTCAAAAGTACAATGTATTATGAAATGTTAACAAAATGTTAAAACTTAAAATGATTTACAGTGAGAATAGTTTCAAATAGAAACATACACATGCCATTCTCTGAAATCTGTTTAACTCAAAAATGTGTTAGAGAATGGAAATGGGCAACAAAGCTGTTTTGAAACAAATCAGTGTACTGGAAATGTTTCAGATGACATTAATTGATATTGCATGACAAAACAATAGAAATATTCAAAACTCAAAAATGATTACACATCCCACTGGGCAGTTTACCGAACCCTTTAATTAATTAATAATTAATTAATTAAGTTTTGGCTTTAATTAAATGTCAGTTATATGTGTGGCTGTATGTTATCAATAACCAACTTACCTAAATCTTCAGGGGGCAGAATGAGATCTCCAGGTTCATCTGCTAGTGTGAGGATGTCATTTTCTCCAGTTGTCTCAATAGGGGGAGCCTCCTCTGGATCACTTTCAGAGTCAGAACTTGAGCTATAACTTATCTTGTCATGTTTCGTCATAATAGTACATGTAGGTGTCGGCTTATAGCAATTTCTGAAATAAGAAAAACAAAACAAAACAAATGTTCATAAAATGTAAATAATGTACCTATTAGATAATTGATTTAAGCAAGTCACAAGTGGTATATGCAGCTACCTCCCTGAGGTCATGGACCAGATGGGTGAGACAGAGATGGGGAGGAGATTTCAAAGATTAACAGTGAGCATTAAATGGGTTTCATCAATCAGAAAATGAATGTTTATCTTTGAATTCTTTTGTATCATTTTTATCACTAGTTTGTATATTTTTGCTTTGTACATGTGTATTGTACATATCAAATATATTGTCTATTGATATGTCTATAAAAAGAGAAAAAAAAATGAATGGGGAGGAGGGGGTTTGGTTATTTTTGAATGTAAATGACCTGGTCCTCTATAAAATGATTATAACATGAATATAGGCTTTTTGTGTCAAAAGCACCTAATATCAATGAAATTGTGAAAATAGTATTGCAATTTATTCTTTAACAACGCAGTATGCCTCAGCAATTCAGAATTCATGAAAAATGGTCATAAGATATGAGCCCCCTCTAAATATTTGGTGTGGCAGAGCTCAATAAACAAAAAGAATTTCATCGTCTGATGATATATGTTTTCATGTTAAACTGATGATGTGGAACATAATTAAAAGGGCACATAGGTTATCAGGTTATCGCAAACAATTTTGTTGGGTATGAATGGATGTCGTCTTATGCTTCCCTGCACTATGTATTGATAATTCTAATGATGCTTAAATATCACTATTCCACTTATTTTCAAAAATTATTAATGTACTCATCACGTCTTCCAACTCAACTCTACTCAACTCTGATAACAACACTTCATCAAATGTTTCACAGTGAGAGATATAACAGTTCAAAAAATATTCACAACAAGTTAAAGATCGTCTGGATTTTTTTGCAATAACCTGATAAGCTACGTGTCCATTTGAAATTTAGTTGTTGGTGATAAGTTACTGTCCATATCATTGATATAGACAAGGAAGCAGAGTGGCCCGAGCACAGTCCCTTATGGGACACCAAATTTCACAGGTGTTCAATTCAATTCAATTTTTATTTATTTCATAATTCTTATATAATATACACTATAAAAAAAAGCCGCTCCCTAGTGGGTATATGTTGCGGTTTAATAGAAATTATTAAAATGACATCTAGACTACATATAAAAGAAAACACTTATATTATGTTACATGTAGGTATATAAAAATGGTATTAATAATTTATCTAAGGATGTACAATGTAAAATGTTACAAAAATCAGGTACCAGTATAAAATTAACAATACAGTATGATATTGGTATTATACATTATCGATAGATGAGTAGTTTTTTTTAAGAAGATTTGAAAATATTTAGAGTGGAGCATTTTTTAATATCATGTGGTAGAACATTCCAAAGATTAGGACCTAGATAGCGAAGGGAAAGTTTAGAGCATTTAGGGATATGAAAATAATGCAATTGTCTTGTGTAATGATGATGAATATAATGTTGATATCAAACAAGTCTTGAAATAGATTTTTTGGAAGACTGGGGTGCTTATTAAAGATTTTGTATATGAACTGACCTGTACAATATCTGTTACTAACTTCTAACTTCTTGTACTAGATTCCATATCCAGTACTACCTGTTGTATGTTGGGAGCTTCAAACGACCCAAGATAAGAGCCAGCTCAAGTTGTTTCCGCGAATTCAAGATGCGAAAATAATTTGTATGGATAGTGTATCTTGATACCATTTTTTATGAAAGATCATGACACTGTATAAAAATGACAGTTTCAAAATGCTGTGGATAGGCTTAAAAATGTTAACTCATTAACGGTAAGGTCTGTTTCAATATATATATCTGTTTTCTAATGTCACATACAGGCTTTCAACAGATGTACTTATATTCATAACATCAATATCTTTCAAGTAAAACACCAAACTTTCAAAGTAGTACAATTCCATTTCCATGGGCCAAATCATGTGGAAATCAACAATATGGCTTTTCTTATCACAGGTCAAATCAGGGGGAAAATGAAACGTCCCCCAGCAGTGGCATAGCGTGGGTATTTTGTGAGTGTAGGCCACAAGTGAGTGAACCGAACAAGCTTTGCGGGGGGTTTGGGAGGTTATCCCCCTCCCAAGTAAATTTGAAAATGAGATTGCATTTGAAGCGTTCTGGGCTTATTGACCATGTTAATCCTATATATTTAATAACGATGAACTCATTTTTAAAAAATCACTGTTTCTCTAAATTTTGAGAGTACGCCATGGCGTTTTATGCGTATACTACATGAAGCTGCCCAGAATTGAACATACAATAGTCTAATATTCGAAGCATATTTTGAATTTATCCTGTACCAGGACTAGTCCTGGTACGGGATAAATTTTGAATAGTTTGAATTGTCACACTGACACTAAAAGGATCAAGAAGAAGAGGCCGCCAATGATGACATCATTTGTTTGTAATTTTTGACCAATGAGAGATGTATGTCATATCGATATAGGTTTACATTATAAGGGTAGACTAAGTCATCTTTGAATGCCTGGGTTGTCTAAAAAATAAAATAAATAAAAAAAAATAAAAATTTAGGATCAGGATCAAAAATAAATAGATTTTATACTCACTTGGACTACATTTTCTCCAACAAAAATCAGAACTGAGAGCAAACAAATAAACACTTGGTTGTAATGTGTAACAATTTTTTAAATTATATCAAAATCCTTTCAACTAAATATCCATATTTGTACTCCAAATTTTTCCAAGACATTCTAACCGACCTCCATTTTGGAATTATAGCTTGACCTTTTGACCTAAACTATTAATCCGCGTATGGTATAAATCATGTAACGCTGTCTTATTAAGGTCACTGACTGTTTGATCATATATATAAAACATTACTTCAAACTATTTGAGTATTTTCCTTCCTTCAAACTAATCAGGGGAACCCTATATTGATAAATACTAATAGAACTAGATTATTTGGCGAAAAAACATGATATTTACTCCCAAACTATTTCCTTCAATTTGATTGGCTAATCGTTGCCGAGCTAACTATATGGCTTGCGAGTCCAGTTATTCAAGTGTCATATTCAGGAAAACAGTGTTGTTTACAGAATACACCTTGGTTTTATATTAATTAAATGATTTTAACACGCTATATTGCATATTCAATATTTCTTAAACTAATTGTTGAATTTTTATACGAGATTTGGGAGTATCTCAAAATAGACCAACCATAATATGAATAGATAAACTGCTTTTTTTTACAGCATCCGTGTTTTCTTGAATCAATTAAAAATTGTGTGACAAAAACTATACTGTCTAAAATAGCTTCATCATCCGGATTCATTTTTATCTTTTTATCCTTGATACTGTCAAATTATTTAAAACACTTTTCTTACCCACAAAAGTATGGCGAAAGACAAAGAAACCCTCAAATGAAAATCCAAACAAATATGTGTAGGCTAGTAATTTTGCGCATTGTTACTTCAATTAGCAGACGCTAAATAAAATATTGAAAATATTGGATAGCTCTATCAGTCAGTCAGTAGCCTAGTCTGTTACAATTCAGTACAGGTTTGTGTCCCTGTTATTTAATTTAGCTATAAATGTATCTGGAATGATAAATTGATAAATAATATGATACTGTAATTGTATAATACCAATGTTCATTCATAAAATATTAAATATAAATTTTAGATTTGTCAACTTGTTGAGGGAAGATCAACTTCAAGATGTTCAGATCCAAGATTTCTGTAGAGAGAACATTACAGCTGGAAATGTGCAGACAACTTGCTCTAGGTAACATGGGTAATGTAAATGTATGGCTTGCTGAACTTGCATGACTAGATCATAAGTTTTTGACACTTAGACCTAACTGTTCAAGGTAAAACGATATTAGACTGCCAATCAAATTCCTTGATCACTTTGATATGGCAGATCCATAAACAGCCGTCAATGGTTTTGGTTTTTGGACTAATAACAGAATTCTTATTTCATTCAGAAAATAAAATTCCAAACCTGGAATGAACAGTTCAGTTTCACCTTTTTTGTTTCAACCACCGATTAGCATATGTAAAAACCCGGTAATTTATTTTCAATTTCAATCTTTATTTTTCTTGCAAATGGTTGGGAGTTATAGTCTTTCCGCTCTTTGAATCCATTATATTTACCTTCCGATTTCTTTATTCTTTCCAGGTTTGTTGATCCATCAATTACTTTCGTAGGAACACGTAAAAATGTAATTTTGATCCAAAATTTAATTATTTGTTTACAATGGCCGCCATGTTGCCTAATCTCGAGGACTCAAAATTGGTTTCTTTTAAAAAAACCTACGAAATGATCGATCAACATCCCTTTTCTTATTCTGAGATGTTATTCATTATTTATATAACTTCTTTATGTAGCTTTCTGTTCATTTTTGTATTCGATAACTTGTAACGTTTTGTAAAACATTTTTGTAAAGAGCTTTGAGACTAGTTCCGGCATTCTGGTTGGATAGTTTCTAGCAATACACAGGGCTATATTTTTCCGCTCGAATATTTCGAACTTCGCTTAAAGGAAATATCTTTGGGAACATTAAGATGTCTGAAAACTCTGCTGTAACTCAGGTGAATATATTGAAAATTATTGTTAAGTTAGATAGCATAATTAATTCTTTGATTGAACTTTCCATGTTAAGTTAGTGTGATTAATTCACGGGAAAACTCCCTCATGGAACTTTTACTTTTATCCGTCCCTTGTTATTTTCTCCGAGGAAATGGGCCTTAAAGTGAGCCTACATGACATTCTGTCGTGTTATCCTCAACCGGGACATATTTGTAGCTATTTTTATTTCTTATATCGGGATTAATTTGAAGCTTTTGGTTTTAACTTCGAAATTAATTAAAACTCAATCATTCCCGTGCAAACTATTCATGAAGCACGTTGCTTTAATCTTAAACAAACTTCAGCATTTGATTCAAACAATGGAATTTCTTTCTCACTTTATAGAAACAATTGAAACAATTCTTT